TACTCTTTTGAAAGTACTTACAGAAACTTAAATGCAAGTATTAACTAATGGCTTAGACTGTCTTATGAGTTTACTCCTGCTAGATTTGACTGTTGGTAGCGTGGGTGGTGTGTGCAGGGTTTTGGGTTTTTTTAGACTGGGGGAGAAGGCTGGATCTGACAGGAGCATAATCTTGAGTTCTTTCCCTTTTTGGAAGGTTACATTTGCGATGTTGGTTTTAAGAATATTTTTAAACAGTGAGGGAGAAGGTTATTGCTTGGTCAGCTAGTTGTATGAGCTCAGACAGAGGCCCTCATGTTCATTGGCCACTGACATTTGATACAGGCTCTCACTTCCTTCTGCTACTTAAGCAAGCAAATACAAAATGTGAAGATTTCCCTTTGGGAAGTGATAAAATATGGCAGTGAAATTGAACACAGTAATACATGTTTTTCTCTCATGTCTTTCTGCCTGCTTGAGTTTAACAAAATCACATTTCTGTAGTTTTACAGAAGTTGGCCTTAAATAGTGCCCTTTAAGTTTTGGATCTCTAAATGGTTTTTATGCATGACAGTTATTTTTTCAGAGCACCTCTTTAGAGCTTGGGGGAATCTGTTGACAGTATTACTGGTGCTTAGTGCTGATAAGGTTTCTGAAAACTTCTTCTGCTTTCAGGTGTTTATTTAGAAGGGCACAAGAGAAAACAGCTATTGTAGTTTGGGACCAGGTATAACCATTTTTCCAGTGTTCATGTACAATCACATCTGAATTTTTAATCCATTGATTTTCAACAGATACTGAACTGTACATCACGTATCTGTTTAAGAGCAAAAGAATAACTGTTTAATGCTGGGAATTAAAAACTAAATTTTAAAGTAAGCTGTAGGTGTTTGTGACCTCAGCAGAGGTACTTTAAGGTGAGAAGTGTTGTAGGAGCTCATGGTCTATCTTGATAAGTGAGGAGCCTAAAGGAGACATGCCACTGTTTATGTATGGGAAATCTGCTTCACATAGACTTACTAACCCTCTCTCTGGAAATCTGTGGGAGACATTGAAAATAGATTCCAAATTTTAAGTCCTAGTTAAAGAACGCTTTATAGCTGGAACTTGCCTAGGATGTTAGAGGTGAAAAGCTGTACTGTCTTTAAAATTGTTAGGAGGTGCTTGCTCCGAGAAGCAAGTGCTGTGTTTTTCATGTTGATTCTGAGGTCTTTGCAGTCTTGTTAGGGGGAATACTGGGAAAAAAATTTGAGACAATAAAACCTACATCTAGACATTACAATAAGCTGAGTTTGCCATTCCTTTTCTCTCTGCAAATACGAAGAACTTCCGTTTTTGCAACAAAATGCTGAGTGAACTACTGATGCTTTAAAAATCATAGCTATGGCTAATTATCTCAGTGCAGTCACTTATGTATGCATCATTGCACTGTTCTCTACCTTCTCACTTCCCTCTGAAAGTGGACACAGCCCTTGTTCTGCAAGTAATAATAATAATAATTGGTAGTAAGACAGACCTGTTACTCATCCTTTTTTGAGCACATTTCTTATGTCAGATGTCTAGTTTTTAATTAACTGCTAATGAACATGCCTAATAGACCATGATACTGCTGCCAACTTACTCTATTTTATATCGCACCGCTGCTAAGCTCTTAAAAGGTGACAGAGCAGGCATTAGTGTCTTTGAAGTGACAGGAAAGTGATTATATGCATAACATAATTGTTTCTAGGATCTACTATGGCAAATGTCTGGTTACTAAATATGTCTGGTGAGCACTGCTGTTATCCATCTCCCTAGTCTTTAGTTTCTTCCTTTGTGTGCAGCACACATTCCCTTTTTCCTGTCTAGAAATAGAATACAATATACTTCTAACAATTGAAGCTTTTTAAGTAAAAGGAGTATGAATATTTGGAAAGGATCATCTTTATCTGTGTGTTAGGGAGAACTGTAAAAACCTATTATGATTAGCTAATATATAAACAAGAAATCCATACACCTCTGTCTAAACAGCAGTGAGCTTTAAATAATAAACATTAAACCACAATGTATCTTTGTTGACTTAACAAACCATGATCAGGTTTTCAATCTTATGTCTGTTTAATGTGGTTGGATATTTAAGCATCTTTGGGTACCATTTTTCTCTGATACCCCCAGTAACTATTTTGCAGTGCTGCTAAGGTGTTATGCGGAGTGATGCATTTCCACTTACAGCTGTCGTATTCTGTTCTACAACTTACACTGGTCATTGCTCCCCACTGCTCATATGCAATCCCATTAGAGAAACAGGACGTAGCCCTTCTTGTACATGCTTCCAGCTTCAGAACCTGTTAGAGGGGATTAATCTGTTCCTAATTTCTGGGACTTTCAAAACACCCTGTTTGTAGGCTACAAAGTAGACCCAGGGAAGGGAAATTGTTGGTAATGTGTCCCTAACCATTTGAACTTTAAAGACATTAAGCTATGCTTCCTGAATCATGTGGGTTAACTTGTTTGCTAATTAATCCAAGCAATAGGGGCATGAATAAAGGGAGTCCTCCTAGGCGTACTGAAGGGATAGGGACAAGAATGGAAGCACTTTCCCTGTTTTGACATTCCCATGTCCACGCTGCAAAAGAAGATAATTTATGCTCACTGTTGGAGAAGGGAGTTTTTTCTCCACAAAACCAATTTGGAAGGGATAAATCACTTTTTCTTCTTAGCCAATTACACACCACAACTAGGTAATCCAGTGTGATAATGCCGCTGGGGACAAGTAAGAGCAATGCCATGAATGCAGTACAGTGCTGCTGCTGAATGTTGTCTCATGGCTAGAGTGCAGATGACTGACCTGGCGTAAGTGGTCAATGAGGACAGGAATGATGAAGGTACCATCTCTCAGAGAGAGCCTGGCAAAACATTAAGTTATCTTCTGATTTGAGGAAACGTGGTAGAAACTGCTAAAGCATTGTTAAGAGAGATGTCCTCTTGTCCTTTAGAGGCTGGATCAAAAAACAAACAAAACCAAAACGCTGCAGTTCTGTCAGACTTTACAGTGTTTTTTGTTTGATACTTCTTCAGTTAAATGAAGTTTCACTAGCAATAGCTGCTTGATTTTTGTAGAAGGTGGTCTATGTCTTTAACAACTTCAAACAAAAATAATACTTCTTCAAAATGTTACTTTTTGAGTTGTTGTAATCACATTAAAATAGAAGAATAAGAACTCTTACTTCGCTTTTTAAACACTGAAAAACTGTCAAGGACAGTGATCAAATGTACAAACTGCAGTGAAGAAGGGTGAGGCTTTCTGTGCAGTATGTGAAAAGAAATTCCTGATACATGGTGTGAGAAACATTTGGTAAACTTTTGACTTTATAGAATAGATTAAAGGGATTGTGGTAAATTTTAAGATTCTTCTTGTATGTGGAAAACTAAGAAAATGATGACTGCGTTACAGTTGGGACAGCAGAAAAATGAAATTAGCAGGTTCAGTCCAGAGTTCTTCAGTGTCAGTCACTTGTGTCTACATAAATTTATAAATGGCTCAAGGCATGTCTTGGGATGGGGTTATGGGAAATAGAAGTGTATGGTTGTGTTAGTTACCTAAATAGTAATAAATTAAGTCATTCATATGCCGGCAAGTACTGTTGACAGTTTGTTGTGAAGAGTCTGGGGACCTATGGAAGCAGATAAAAAATTTTTGGATTATTTTGAGTTAAGTTATTTTGGAGTGACTTGTGCAGTATTGTGAGCTTTAGTCTAGGTATGAATTCAGTAGCTCTCAGGAGTACTTCAACAATTTTGCCTGTTCTTACAGGACCACTAGCATTCACCAGGTCAAACTCTCATGTCTATCTGAGCTCATCCTGTTGAGACATTTGCTTATCCATCTTCTCTTTGACCTCATGACCTGGGTGGTACTTTACCTTTTTTTGCAGTATCTACCTTCAGCAGAGGAATAGTGGAGCATGACCAAGATGGAGAGGTTTCTTCTGTCTTCTTTTCATGTGTGCAGTCACAAGGAAGCAGGAAAGAGGCAGAAAATCTGTTTACTTGTAACAGACTAAAGGGGAGCTATGACTAAGCTAAAGATGGTTTTGAAGCTAAATTTTCTAAATAAACCTGTGCTGAGCATTTTGGACAAATTAAATGGTTAGCTGAACTTGGAAAATATTAATAAAACTATAACCGCTTTAACTGGAAAATATCTTAATATTTAATCTATGGGGAAGTCATTCTGTTATAAGGACTATGTTTCTCAAATTGCTTACACAATGTTTTGCCAGACTGGTTACAGGGTTGTATGTCCAGTCGTTATGATAGTGATCTTGCAAGTTGCTTTTGAAACAGATGGAGGTATTTTAATTCACTAATACCATGGCTTTTGTTGGGAATTCTGTGGATTTATTGATGCTATCTGGAATGCCTGGATTTTAATCTCAAAGTTGGATCCTAAACAAGGTGTTAGTTCCTGAATAACTTTTTTTTTCCCCAAAAAATTTAGCTAGAATAAAATACAAATTTAAGAACACTACACTGAATAGTAAATCAAGCAGCATCTTTTAGTTTTTTTAATATTCAAAATAGAAACCTACTTACTGCTTCCAAATTGGGGGAAGAGAGGTGTGTGAGTTTAAATCAGTCTTGCCAGTGAAATTTTTTTCCCAGAGCAGTGACACTCCTTTCTATAGAAAGGGAAAGGTATTCAGACCTGCTGCTGTTTGTTTGTTTGTTTGTCACCGGTGACGCTGTGGTAGGCAGTAGCTTCCCAAAACAGCCTACAGTAGTTGAACCTATTCCTCTGGCTGCAGAACAAATATCCAGCTGGCTTTTTTTGGTTTATGGAACATTAGCAGAACTGTCCACAGCCAGCATGATATAATGCAGTATATGTAGTATGGTGGGACAGTGAAGAGAGGCTAGGTTTAAAACAAGCAAATGAAAAAATCCGCTGTTCTCAATAACTAACCAAGCTTCTCCCTTCTCCTTCCCAAACTATGTGCTATGCATTGATCTTCTGGGGATGATGATACCGCTGGGAACAGCAGCAGCAGTTGCAGGCTCAACATCTCTCCCATGGCCATGGACCTCCAGTGCCTCTAACACCACATCCATCAGGACTTCAGCCTCCAGGAATCCCTCCACTCGGAAGCAGTGCTGGCCTTCTTGCCCTTTCTAGTGCTTTGGGTGGGCAGTCTCACTTGGCAATAAAAGATGACAAGAAGCATCACGATGCAGAACACCACAGAGGTGAGAGGCATGGCAGGCCTGATTAGGACATTGTCAGATTTGCGCATTGCTGCAAATTATGCGCATCTCTAAAGAATTCAAGTTATATAGAAAGAGAAAAAACTGTTGGCAAACTTAAAAATGTCTGCATACATACCACTGAAGCAAAATTCAGCTTGGAAGTTTTCAGTATTTTAAAAGGGGATATTTAGGTGTCATCTGCTCTATAGTTTGCAGGGCATTTTGACATCCTAGTAAAAGCTTAGTTGTAACACCAGTGGCCTGCACCATATTGTGGAAAACTGTTAAACTGCATAATGGGTAATTTTTTTCAAAGAAAGTAATGTTGTTAAATGGGTGGGTGGGAAGGTAGGGGGGAACAAGAAGTTAAATTTTGAAGTGAATGTGTTCAAGCAAAAGGTTTAGATAATTGCATCTGTTACTTTAGTTTCATAGGCTTAAAGTATAGTACACAATTAAATATTGGGCAAAATTGCACTTGACTAATTTTTGAAAAAAAAAATTATTCTGTCATGAAATAGGCTTTGTGTATGGTTAAACTGTAAATCATGTTTACAAAATACTGTAATTTTCAGGAAATCACTGTATTAGGAATGTGCAATGACTTATATAAATAAAAGCCATTTTAAAACTGTTTGCGGCTTGTGTTCTAATTTTTTTCCCCCCTTTTTTATTTCTGTTCTTGCCTATGTGTCTGAACGGGCATGTCTGTGCATTTCTTGGTTACTGCGGGAGCAGACAGAGAGCCGGGCACAGTAAGTACCATCATTCCTGCTAATGTTTCCACTTCTACATAATGTAGTAATCAGACGTTGCACTGTTTGTCTGTTTTGTCTTCCTTTTAGTCAGTTTCATGATACTAGGCATATATGTTTCCTGTTAAGATATCTCTTGGTTTATGCAGAACACCAAGTTATTTGTTTCAAGGACTGTATGAATCAGGTTTGTTTCTGAGCAGAATGATTTTGGGAAAGCTTGAACTTTAGTTTGCTTATTGAGGATAGCGGGGGAAGCAGCAAATCAAACAGTACATTGACTGCAACTTGAAGTATAACATTATTGGTCAGAGTTAAGATTTTATCCTGTAGGATTTTCAGGAATTAGAGTTGCAGAACAGGGGAGAAATTTAAAATTTATGTGTCATGACGGTATTTGGCCCTAGGATTTTCTTTAACTGAATCTGTTTAAGCTGTACTAATGTCTGCACTGCTTAATTTGTGCTTCAGGTATAACTTCCATAGCAAAACTTTTTTTCCCTTTAGACATAAACTGCAATAGAATTGGTCTAAAACGATCTTATCTGAAAACCAGCCAAAGAACTACTTTGCTACAGCTTTTTATTCTGTTGTGTTTTGAGTGATATTGCTATACTAATCTGTTGGAGATGGGCATGTACTACTTTCATGTAATTTCAAGTAACAAAGTGAATTCTGCTTGTTGGTGTCATAGATAAATTTGGGCTCTATTTTGTTTCTTTTTCTCAATTAGACAAAAATTAGGAAAAGGTATTTGACAGATATTCTTCTGGTACTAAACTTCTAATTTTTATTGCTTTTCTTTTTTATATATACTAGGGCTTCACAATTATTTACTGGAAACTATCTGCATATCTTTTGTGTCAGTCTTTTTTGTTTCTAGTTTACCAAGCAAGAAGCATTCATTTCAGCTTGCTTAACATTATTAATGGCAGGGTAACTGTGGAAATAAATTTAAGCTGGGTTTTCCTGTAGCCTCATACTTATTAAGGACATATTTCTTTGAGTGATGTTAATCAAGTGAAGGATTCTAACAACTTTTCTTAAGACCTAAGGAAGGAGTTTTGCAGTATGCGTCTGTTTCCATGTGCACACATGTGCACATGTTGGAGTGATGGTTTTGTGTTTTGCTTTGGTTATGTTTCCTGTCCTTGCTCTTTTCCCCTCCTCCACTGCCCTGTCCATCATGTACTTTGCTAAAGGGTTTTTGAGTTTAAAGTCAGATACTTCACACTGTTGTGAAATTCAGACTCTGAATTCGTCACTTAGCTGAGAATAGTTCTTGCCTGTGGAAGGAAAACTGTCAAAAATAAAATGTGTCTTTTGGGTTGCAGGAAATTTGCCATATCACTTGCTTAGTTTACTATATATGTCAGTTTTATTTAATTAAAGTACATAAAATTGTCACTGCAGTTACTTTTGTCTCCATATGTGTAACTTATGATTGTTTGGTTATTATCTGTAGTAGGCTTTTTTAATGCTGAATTTACCACTAAGTAACCTTTAAACAGTCTGAGGCTTTATTAAATAAAAGAACTGTGCTGTATGGATATATTGAGTTCAGGTTACTATACTATGGTGGCCATAGTTTCTTTTTGGACCCAGTGGAGAATAGTACTTCATAATTAAATTAAACTTTGTTTGCCAAATGCAGGTGAACTTAAAACTTGAATTTAAAATTGTTTAAATACAAAGTTGCGTTAGAACCTTGGATTAACAGTAAATAGTATCTCTAGTGAAAGAATCGTAATTCAAGTGATAACTAAGTTCAAATCTCTGGCTAAAATGATCAGCTGGGAATGATTTTCTCTTTGAACTCCTTTAACTCTCTTGTGTTTTCAGTGGATTTTTTAAAATTCAAAATGTATTTTTAAGAATAATATAAAATTAGTGACAACTACACACGGCATACCAGCGGGTCTGTTAATTATTACATGTGATTCCAACTGAGCAGTGGGCTTTTATTTTGCAAATTACTTTATAATATCTGAGTCACCAAGATAAGATCAATTTGATTTTCAAAGTAACATTAGGTGTAATGGTGCTGCCAGAAATCCTGACAAAAGCTTGCTTTCATCATCCAAAACACCAAAACTCACGGTGTCTTTTAGTGACCTAAATTAGCCATGATGTTTGGTATTATTGTGCAGTTCTACAGTTTCATTTCCATCAAATATGTCGAGTGTGACCTTCCAGTATTGTCAGGAGAAGCTGACAGCTTTAAGTCTGCGAGTTTGAAATACTACAATTTAGCGCTTGCCTATTTGGTTTTAAATTGAGGTTTTTTGACATAACTTTGATTTAAAGCATATTGTGGCATATTATTTGAGCATATTCGTTTTAAAATGAGATCTGGTTATATTTTTTTAGTCTTCTAAGGCAAATAAACAGTCTCTAGTTTTTATGTACTGTATGTTCAGAAATGCTTCATAATGCAGTGAGATGCATGTATTTATAAAAAAAAATTAAGGATGTAGTGATCTCATTATTCTTGATTGTGATCAGTGTTGATTTTACCTACTTTTGTTCTATCTAAATGGCAAGGGCTGCATTTTTCTTTTTTGTATTACTTAAAGTTTCAGGAAGTAAGATGAAATGAATTTCTTTGTAAATGCATGTTTGTGAAATATACAACATTTAAGTTAGTAATAATAGTGTATTTCATACATGACTGCTAAAGTTATTTGGTCAAATTTAAATTATAGCACTACAATGATAATGGCAGCTGGGGTTTGGCTGATACAGCTCTATAACCATCCAAAATTGGGGCATGTTATTGTGGGAATGCAGGTATCCCTACTATTGTGACAGTCTGGCTGCAGGTAATGAAGCCAGGCAAAGTAAGCAAGTTTTGCAGCTGAAGCTTAACAAAGTTTTGGGAGATGTCAGTACAAAATAACTTTGATGTCCACATTGTTTTCTCTAGGGAACATCTGGTGACATTTTCCAAACTTATTTTAGGTGTTAATTTATAACTTGTCTTCCCACTGTTGTAGTATCCTGTTTGGTCAGCACAGAAATGCAAATGTTCTGAAGCGGTCTATTCTATCAGTAATAATTTGTAGGCAGTGAAATTTGACTTCATTATGTGTTTGGGATTTACATTAAAGTTGGTGTTCATCTTTTGTCCTCATAAAAAACATTGAGTTTGTTTTCTAAACCTTAGGGATTACTCAGAAATTTGCAAGAAATATTTTTGTCTTCATGGTTAAGCAGAAATGGTATTGTTTTGTAAAGCAAATGCTCTTTGGTCACAACAGAAAAATATTCTGTGTCCTTAGCTCTCTGTCCTATTCTTCCCTTCCCAGTCTTGGAAGAAAGGGGCATGCACAACTGAACGCTACTCTTTGGTTGATATTCTAGGCAAACTGTTTTTTGTTTTGTTTTGGTTTTTTTTTTTTTTTTTTATGTTTTAATTCTTTTAAATGGGGGGAAAAAATCATAAAAGGAGTTATATGAAAATACAGTGCACTCTTCAGTGTAACATATGTATGCTCCTTGGCCTTTGTGAAGAAAGTTATTTTCCATTATATGGCTTGTAACTGAAAAGCTTGAATTTCTTTAATCAGTTATCTTTTATTTTTATTGGCTCTGTCAACTTAAAAATAAGTTGAATCTTACAGTCTTTATGAATGCAAACCACAAATTATCTTCAGCGGGAGTTTCTCACAAAGAAGAGTGGCATTGTAGTTTAGTTTGTAGCTAATACAAAGCAGCATGATGCTGATGGTGAAGGACAAGAGGATTGGGGTGGTCTGGTATAAATTTTTATGGATACCCAGATTCTGAAAAACATTAGCTAGAAGGTACTGAAATCAACAGAAGCCTTAGTCTTTGTTAATGTCCACTGATTGTTGAATCAATGAGGAGAATGATTCAAATCCATTTAGGCTTCTAGATTTCCTTGTTACTAATATGTATATACCAGCCTAAATATAACTTTAAATGGTGGGTGAAAAGAGGTTGAAGGCAGTAGCTTTCCATCACCAGTAATTTGGAACAAAATGTACTGACTTTATAAGTCAACTTTTGGGTTGTGGCTGTGTGTGTTTTCAAGAAGCATATTCAACAAATGGAAGTTGATTTGAATGGCTTTTGAGTACAGCCTTGTGCCTTGCTGGGGGATGGTTAAGTGCTAGTCCCTCTTCCAATGTCCACTATATTCCTGTCAGTGAGTCCTGACAATGAGCAGTGGGACTGCTGAGCAACTGTTGTTTTGGTTGGAGAAGTTAGACTTGATCCTGTTTTGCCTACTCAACAAGGGTTTGCATTTGTTTGAATATCGGTAGATAGCACTTGTCTGTGGTGGAGCAGCACAAGTTGGGTGAAGTGGTTAAATAAACATGGTGGCCCTGCTCGGTGATATGGGCGAGGGCAAGTTGCCAGCTGTAATAAGTGGCTGTAATGGCAGATGGGTGCAGTTGGTTTGGATGTGCCGCGAGTCAGTGAGTGGCCAAACTCAGAGCAAGTGTGCACGTGTGAGTGTCTTTGGGGGAAAAGGGGGTGGGAGGGATGGGGAGCCCAGCCCTAGAGAAGATCTTAATTGGGACCAGGTGTAGTTGAACCATGAGCACAGATGTTAATTGCTGTAATGATCAGCATAAAGTTAATTGTCAGTTCTGTATGTTCTAGTGAGTTGTCTGTGCTGTATTGTGACTGGGGCTAAATGAGATACTGTGGGCTCTCAGCTTGTACCTCCGGCACACATACTTGTGGTTTGGAAGTAGTGCCTATGGGGAACGGCATGACACTTGAAGAAGTGCATTCAAACAATGTGTGTTATATTCCTAATAGGGAACCTGCCATCTCTCTGTGTATCATGACTCGGTTTTCGTTTAATATTTGCTGCTGGTGGTTTCAGTATTTAACTTTTGCTGGCAGCAAAGTTGCTTTAGGATCCCAAGCTGACTGTTATACAGTCCTTATGCAGTCTGGTAGTTCTGACAGGAAGTGGTGCTACATTAGGCTTTTTAAATTCTTTCAGAACTTATTTGAAGAAAAAGGATTCATATGAATACATTCTGAATTATCAGAAGAAAAAGAAAACATTTACATAAAATTGATTTTGACCATTTGTTCTGATCAGAGATTCATGATTTACATATGTTGCATTGGTAATCCCTAATAACTTGAGCTCCTAGTATGAAAGCAAGGATTATCCTCAGTTATGTGTCTAGTCTGTTGAAATTAAGTCAAAATGAAAATTGCTATCATGCAGTTTATCTTTAGGAAATGAACTATACATGTATATATGTTTTTGCCCTTTTTGTACAAATGGTTTATTACTGAAGATCCATTTCTGTACCATTAGTAAAAAAATACATAAATTTTACAGCTAAAATAAAATTGCCTGTCCTACTTTTGAAAAGAAGTCAGATTCTAGTAGGCCTGATAGAAGAACTAAACAGATTTTTTTTTTTTTTTAAGAGAAGGAGAACTCTATCATTGTGAAACTATTGCTGCTGTTTCCTAGCTGGCCTTATGCTTGATAGTGAATTAGAGCAAATTTAAACTCTACCAGAGCGGAAATGAGGAAAGGTGGCATTTAGTAGACTTTCCTCACTGTTCCATGAACCTTAACATTCTGCTGGTAAGAGATGACAATAGCTCAAGGCTTATATGGCCATCTCTTTCCCAGTTCTTGTTTGCATTTTCAGTTATTTCCTTTGCTACTTTAGTGTTCTGGATCTACCATGCGCACTACTTAAAAATATGCATATTTTCATTATTGTTGGATGCAATCTTACACAATTGGTGGTTTGAATTGTGGTAGTAGGTTACAGCAGCAAGCTATTTTTTCATCAAAAGTTAAAATTTACCTGATTTTAGTCACAATTGTTAGAACTTCACTGCACTCCTAAGGGAAACAAAACAGTAACTTTTAAATTATTGAGTTTACTGGTAAATTTTGCCAGAGTAACCGCACAATCTTATTTGCAGCTGTCAGTATAGCTACTGTGAAATAAGCTGCTCTACAACAGCTTCTAGTGTGGATGCTTTGATTCCAGAGAACAGTGCTTTAAATGAATGTGGTAAGCTAGAGAAAGGCCATGAAAATATGACCATAAGGGAGACATTTTGCAGAATAGGTTTGTGAAAAGTGTAGGTTCGTTGTAGTTATATGTTTATGTGATAAGTAAGTCATTGGTCTTTTGAGGAGTAATCAAAATCCAATAATCAGATAATCAATTTTGAGGAATAATGAAATCTTTGCCATAATGAAATGTTTGCCATTTAGGACACAGTGGGAGCTATGTATACCTAAGAGTTCCTACATATGTTTCACAGTATTGAAATTCTGGAAGGCAAACTGTACAGAATATTGTCAGTATTGTCTAGGTAGATGTTGCATTAAACCAGAAAAAAAAACCATCAGCTGTTATAGTTGCACATATTTGATGCCAAAATTTGCAATCTGTTCCCTACACTTCTCTGTAGTTACTTCAAATAGCAAGGTTGCTAAATTTATCCCAGCTGCTGCCCCTTGGCCACCTTTATGTTATTCATGCTTAATTTTGGCAATTTAAAATGAGAAAACAAATTTATTCACTTTACTACATTTACCTTCACTGCTTTTTTCTAAGCTCTTCAGTAGTAAAATAGGTATTTTAAAATAATTTTTGTTAAGGAAAGTAACTAAAGGATTTTCTTCCTTAAGACATTTGCAGCAGTCAAATCTGTGGTCACGTTTGAATTGACAGCTTGCTTCATAAGATGTGTCCACTGCTGCAGACATGATGAATTCAATATTAAAATGTTGAAGATGGGTTTTAATGTTTTTCAAACTAGTGAATCCCTGAGTTTGTGTGCATTGGGGAGGAGATGAGGGGTTAAATTCAGACTTTATTTGTCAAGGCAATTAGTTCAGTGATCCAACAAGCCCACCTTTTAGCTGCAAAACATTTCAGTAAAGACATTATTTTGAGCTTCTTTATACTGAATTTCATTAGACCCTCCTATATGCTTTATGTAAGCCTCTTGGCATTTGTTTAGCTTGAATAGTCATGAATAAAAGAGCTTAGACTTGTCTTTAAAGTGCAGCTTCTGAAGTAAGAAAAAGAGGATTCAGATTGCCTTATGTACTCTGTTTTGTTTTCCTTCTCCTTGGGACTAAACATGAATGTCTGAGTAAAACTGCTGTGGTGTCCTCAGCTTTTAAAGGGGAATCGATTCAGTGCACAGTTCACTGGCTATTAGTCTATGTTTATAGTATATTGAGAGTAAATATCTGGCTCTTGGGTAGATCTCAGTATTTCCTTGGAGATTTTACACTTATATCTTAGTATATATGTAGGTATTAGGCTTTTCTCTTCTGAGAGATACATGTATTCGTGTAAATACGTATTTACTTATATATTTATGTGAGCGTATATTTATTTATGTAAGCATGTACTTGGCTTTTAGGAATGAGGCTTACCAGGTCTTTGTGAAAGGAGATTTTTTTCTCAACTCATTCAGTATTGTTCACAGCATTAACACATCACTGAACAAATTGGCCTCTTGCATATGCTAATCCTGCACTTAAAAGAACTCATTGTAACATGTTTTAATGCTTTAGCTGGAACAGAGATGGAGATGGGAATCATCGCAGGCATGTCAAATTGTCATGTGACTGAAAAATGTCTAAAATGCCTTTCTCTTTGGGTCAACAGTTTGTACTTAGCATAACTTAGCATGAATGAAAGCAGTCCATGTAGTTTGAAGAAAAGATTAGTCTTCGCTTTTGTCTTTTGTGTGTGTGTGTGTTGGCCTCAGTTTTTCAGATCAAGTCTGATTAAACAACACTTTAGCCTTAATTTCACACTAGTAGTGAATGTTATGCTGGAAGTAAAAATATTTGATCTTTGTTTGCAATACATTTGTTAAAGGCATCCAACTGGAGTTTGCTGCAGCTAACATGGTTAATGCATAACCTTATTTAGTAAATATTTGTTATTTTAAGAGTTAAAGGCAAGTTGCCGTGTATCTATCCATGCCTGCAGGTGTAGACATACTAAAGCTTCAGCTGTTTGTGATGGTCTAAAAGTGAGCAAACAATCAGATTATATTTAGTAAGTCTCTTCTATTAAATGGTATCCCTATATTAAAAGAAATAAACTAAAAAATCATTGTTACCTGCTCATGAATAAACAGCAAGCCTGCTTCTCTTAAACAATAACTTCAGTTGAATTAATTAGTTAAATAGGTGGTGACTGACAAGTGAACTAAACTTTTGATAAGTTGAACAATGAAAAGCCAAGCTTCTTAGAATGCATGAAGCTGTACATGTTTGCCTGGAGGACTTTGAGTTGAATTAAATGGAATGAAAGACTATGTAGGTATCACATTTCCAAAGTATCACATCCAATTTGAATTTTTAAGCATATATGATGGGACCTTGAAAGGAATTTTTGATTGACCTTGTTTTTTGTCTTTACAGAGTAATTCTCTCTTGGTCTCGGACAGTCTGCGAAGCACAGATAAACGCAGGAATGGCCCTGAATATACCAATGACATCAAAAAGAGAAAGGTGGATGATAAGGATTCCAGCCATTATGTAAGCAAATCTGTGTCACAGAAATGATGAATTTATTTGCACATACTGTGCTTGTATGAGGAGTAAAAGAGCTGCGAAGAACAAGGCAATGTGTTTCCTATGGCTGATATAGTACATGAATATATATGCCAGGGAGACGATTACTCATGTTGTAGGAAGAGCAGTGACTCAAAAGTTTGGGCTATTGTCAAGTAATACTCCTCAACAGGGAATAATGAGCCAGGAGTAGCCGTTTGGGATTCACAAGTCTTCTGGGACATTTCCCAGAGTTTGAGCAAGAGATATTTTCTGGATTGCTCTGAAATCTGCAGGTTTGTTTGAAATGGAATATTTTGTTGATTTGGGGGTATTTTGTGTACATTTTTCTGATTGAGTAATAATTACCATTGCAAATTGTATATGTCGTGAGGCTGTACCAACTTACTAAAGTTTGCTTTTGGTCGATGTGACAGTTTCAGCAGGAAGCAAATGGAAATATAAAAGGTTCACACTTTGTGTTCTGCATTTTTGACTAGCTTGCTTGTTGCTTGAAGAGACACTTCAGTACAACAGTGTGGCATATGTGAACCTCAGAAGGTTCACACAGGCTTTCAACTTCAAGTCTAAATGCTCAGCTAAATCACAGGATGATACTTGAACAGGCTTAGAGACTAGGACTGGTGTGAAAGAGTGCTGAAAACCAGAATGTAAATCTAACAGAAGATACTATTCTTTGACATAGCAATAATGTGGCAAATTGTCTGGTTTACATGAATCAAATCACAGGTTACTTCCTGGTTACTAAAAGCCAGGAGAAAATCAGGTGCCACTTTATTTCCTCAGTATTTGGTAGGGTACTTTCTCTCCACTTGGACCCAGTATATCTCTGAGCAGCTATTGGATATCCTTGGAGCTACTGTCAGTAGCTTCTTTCTGCACATTGTGGTGTAGTAGTAGTTACACTTTCACAAGTTGTATTTCCACCACTTTCTAATAAACTTGGTTTGATTACAAAAGGGTTTGGCAAACTTCGCCATGTTATTCCCTTAAATTTGAGGGTTTGATATTTTATGGGTGTTACTTATTTTAATTATTTGAAGATTAAGCATTCTTAGCCTATATTTGATATAATAAAAATAAAAAGGAAGAAAAAGCTTAACTTGCTTGTTTTTGTTGCATTTCTACTGGAAAGAAAGGCAAAGGATATTATTGCACTGTAGAAGTTTGTTTTAATCCACATTTAAATGTGTGGTTCTGTTTGCTCTTTGCTTGAAATGGGCTTTACAGATAAAGACAGCATCAGGAAAAAGACAGCATCAAAATAAAGAATTGAGCAAAATAAGGATATTTGAAAGTTTCATATATATTCTAATCTGGAAGAAGATCTTTCTTTTTAAGGGTTCCCTGATTCTGCAAACAGAGCTGCTGATTTCAAGCTCATTTCAGATGAGGCCCTTGTAGGGACAAGGAGATACTGCTTTTGTCAGAAAGGAGATAAATGAGTTGTAGGAATTTTGTTGCTTTTGGAAATCAGATGCAAAAGTTTTTGGTTTTGTTTTGTTTGTTTGTTTTTTTGTTTTGTTTTGTTGGGTTTTTTTGTTGTTGTTTGGGGTTTGGTTTTTTTTTTTTGATTGGTTGTTTGCTTTTTTTTTGACTTCTGACTAATTTTCATGATAGGACCTGTATAGTTTCAACCTGGGGGTTTGTTAGTGAGGAGAATCTTCTGATATTAATAGTACCTATAGGAGATGGCTTTGATAGTCCCAGTAAGTTTCTATTTCTCAAGATGACAAAGTCAGTGGAGTGCACTTAATCGTTGCTTGGCAGCTATTTTTGCCCTCCTCAGGGGTGGTATTTCTGGTGAACAAGCATCCCACATACTGTGCTCCCACATGCTCAAATATGTTCTAACCTATTCTTGCCTTCTGGGTGCTTCATACTTTTCAGGAGGTGGCAGATAACTGGGGCTGAAGCTTTCCTGTTTCTTCTCCTTTTGCACCCTTTGGTTGGACAGCTTCCCAGGTGGCAAACAGAGCCGCTATTCTGTCTTCAGTGGCACTCTTGGGTCCCTAATATGTTTGTGGTATTTCTTGGAGCAATATCCAGCTGCTACAGCAAAAGGGAAGGGTTGAAACTACCTGTTGGGGTTTTTTGAGTTTGGTTTTTTTTTTTTTTTGTGTGTGTGTGGTTTTTTTTTTTGTTTTGTTTTGTTTTGTTTTGTTTTTGTTTTTTCTGTTAAACACTTATGGCCTGAAGTGAGAGTAAGGAACTGGTGTTTTACTTTCTGTCTGCCAGTGTTAAGTGTGATAGCTCAGACACTTTGAAAGCAAGAGATGAGGGACAGTTTGAACAATCTTGTATGTCGGATTTGTTTGCCTAGAAATTTTTAAACTGCAAGTACTGTTACTGGAAACGTCAAACTTGCCCACATGAAAGTTTTAAGTTTTATTGTTTACTGGATTTTTTTTGTTTGGTTGGTTTTGGTTTTGTGTCCAGACTCACCTTCTCATTGAAGCATGATGGTGCACTGCAGAAACTGACAGATGCCTGTGCATCATAGAATGTGCCTACTGGGGCATCCTAGACCATTTTGGAGATAGGGGCCAGGAGGCACTTGAGTAACAACTATTGTGAGGCACTAGAGCAGCTCAGGTGAACGTAGATTTATGTGAAACAGTCAAAATGCAGCTTAACAAGCCACCATAAAACATTTCCATTTGGGAATTTCAAAGTATTTTGGTTTTGTTAGGCAGAAGTGTTGAAATGCCTTGGCATTTCTGAAGCTTTTTCTTCCCCAGAACTTTCCATCTCAAAACTTTTCTTTCTGGAAAATGTGGAAAATTGTCCTATCACTTTGAGGAAGTTGATTCATCAAACAAATGCCAAAAAGCTCCAGATTTCTGAGATGTGTTGGTTTTTTAGGTATGCACAAGGAGTAATTTCTGTATGATTAACATGTAAGATTAGCATATGAACAGAATGAGTTTCTATTTTAGGAGTAGTGATAACACTGTTTATGATGGTAATAAGGGTTTTGGACCATCTTGCACTGATGGTGAGACCATCATCTTTCATCTAGTTCTACCTTATTGGGTTTTATTATAGAAGCAGAAATAAGGTGTTGTGTTCCTGTTTTCATTGTTTTCCCTATTGCTAATAATGAAAGGCTGTTTGCTTTTTGTTTAGGAAAAACAAAAAATTGTCTGAGTAGATGCGTAGTCTTTCTCTCTGGGCTCTTAATGTACTAATTGAAATGAACACTATATTTATTTATTTTTAATAGGACAGTGATGGGGACAAGAGTGACGATAACTTGGTTGTAGATGTATCCAATGAGGTAACTTTTTTCATTTTTGTAGTCTTGACATTTGCCCAAAGGTTAAAGGAAAAGTGCATTTAGATGTTAGAAGAAAAAGAATCCTCTGTGTGGATATGTTAAAATATTCACAACTTCTCCTTTTTGTTAGTACTGCAGTTACTATGCCTTCCTCTGGTTGCCCTCTTGGCTTTTCCTTCTGCTGCTTTGTCCAGGTCTGTTCCCTCTGTGGTTATGTTCTGATGCTTCACAGCTGCTCTGTAGTGGAGAGAGTTGTGGTGAGATGCAGGTGGAGGGCTGAGATTGCCAAACCACTGTCTTCACATGAAAAAGGAAGACATTACCTATCCTTGTATTTAATAGTAGGATTATTATTAAGAACATTTTTGGTACCTTAAAAATTACTAATATTTTAACATCCTACACTAAGGACAGCATTTTCCAGAAATGTTTGTTTTTTAGAATGAAGTCAGCTGAAGTCAGAATGAAGTCAGTCAGTTCACAACATTTTCCAGAGGTTGTAGCCACCTTTTTTCTCCAGGGCAGAGATCTGGCAGTGGCATCAAGGTGAAGGCATGGGCCTTCCCCTTTCTTCATCTTTTATTTCATAGAATGAAGAGATTTAGGAAGGCTGAATATGGTAGCAAGGTGATTCTACTCTGTGAAAAGCACAAGGAGAGAAGCTGATGGAGAAGTGTCTTCAGCAGTTCCAAGTACACAGATGATGTCAGCCAAGTAGAAAAATGGTTGTCCAACGAGGGATTTTCGTAAACCTTTCAACAGCCCTACTTACAATGAAACTGCTCAATAATCATTCGGTAGACTTAGTGCCCTCTTGTGAGGACTGCTTCCTCCCTGCTCCTATTCTTATGAGTCAATGGAGCATGGAGAATCTACAGAGCTCTGTTGGCATTGTAGCTTGCTGGGCTGGCTATTTCAGGCTAAAGTAAATGCAGAGAGTGCCTCTGGAAGAGAGAAAGATAATCACCTGAGAGGTGATTTCAGTTTTTCGTATAGATTTAAGTAGTGAGGCAATTACAGATGGTATTTAGAAAGAAGTGACAGATATTATGGCATATAAAGCATGCACCTTTATCGCTTCTTCTGAAGATAATGATGAGCAAGGTTTGTATGGCCTAAAAGAGAAATTTAAATGTTGGTTGTAAGTAGCAGCACGTGGAGAACGTACATGGAAAAAACAGTGTAAACTTACTACAGTTACTGTTGGTCTTTCTTGCTCTTTCCACGTCTTGCACACTAGCCGTAGTTTGTACTTAAGTATACTTAGATTACAAGCTCTATGCTTGGAATCAGTTTTTGATTACATGTAGTATAAAATAAAACCAGATTGATTACTATATTAACTTCATTAATGTTTCTAAATTGATGAAGGGACTTAAGCTTTTTTTTTTTCTATAGGGATAACAAAATGTCTTGTCATTTGAATTTACTGCTTAAATTCTTCTTTTTTTTTTTTTTTTTTTTCCCCATATGCTCCTTAATGGTGTTTATGTACCAATCCATGACACTGTTCTGTGCTGTTCTTCCCTTCCCATTCTTTTAGGATCCTTCTTCCCCAAGGGCAAGTCCCACTCATTCACCACGTGAAAATGGTATAGATAAAACCTCCCGCCTGCTGAAGAAAGACGCCTCTAGCAGTCCAGCATCTACAGCCTCTTCAGGAAGTTCCACTTCCCTCAAATCCAAAGAAATGAGTCTGGTGGGTAGCAGTCTGTTGTCCAGATAAATAATGTTCTTTCTTGTAAAGTCTAACTCTCCATCTCCTGCAACTACTTGTGGCAGAAAGTACATGGCTTTAAAAATTTGAAGCTTAAATAGACTACTGTTATTCCAGACCTTTATAGTATTATTTAGCTTTCTTCCTCAGCAATATTTTCTGCTTCACTTTGATTTCATGTATTTCCCACATTTTTGTCAAATGACTTGCAAATTTATTACAAAGTATGAGTTGCTTAAGCATTATTTATTTTTTTCTTCAGCAGTAGCTTGTTTTAACATAGTCTGTATATAGTCACTAAAAAGTTCTCCAGACTTCTGTTAAACTCTTCTAAATAAGCGGTTACTGTCTGAAAACTTTTCCTGCAGTATCACTAATAATTTGGTCAGATTCTACATAGCTTTTGTGTCACAGTTTTTTGATACTATCTACTGTTGTGTTATTTTGTTGTTGTACTTAGATTTGCTGTGTCCAATAATAATTGAGACAATGATTTCAAGCTAAAATAATTTGGTGTTGCATATTGTATTGTCCTGAAAATAAAAAAAAAATAAGCTCAGGCATTTTTTTTTTCATGCCAATGGAAGAAGGAAAAATAACTTTCTACATTTCTTTTCTTATTTAATTTTGGCAGCAATTGAAAAGGTCATCATTTCTCTCTCACAAGTTAATGTTGTCAGCATTGTGTGGATTTATGAAAATTGGCTGAGGGACTAGGTAGTAGGTGCCCAGCATCCCAGCTGCTGTTGTGATAAATTGTATAATATGGCCTGGATTAAAAATAATACTCATTTAATTTGTTTAATGATACCAGCATGAAAAAGCCAGCACGCCTGTTCTGAAATCCAGCACACCAACTCCTCGAAGTGATGTGCCAACCCCAGGCACTAGTGCAACTCCAGGACTTCGTCCAGGCCTTGGCAAGCCTCCAACAATGGACACTCTGGTTAACCAAGCTGGTAATGCATTACCTCATGTGTTTTTATAGTTCAAAAATTAATCTTTTTTTACATTTGTAGTTCTGTGTGAATGTTAACTAAACGTATTACTTTGTTCTTGATGAGAAGCAGATGTTTGGATTATTGAGAGTTTGAATATCTTTGTCTCATCCTTCTTTGTTTACTTTTGTCTTTATCTTTTTTGCAAATAGTCCAGAGACTGAATGCAATATAAAAAGACTTCTCAGAAGTTTATGGTACTTATTCTGAATGCAGTCTCTTCTCCAGCTCTTTGTCTTAGTCTATGAATATTGGCTACAGTGTAAATCTTGTCAAATGCAGGTGGAAGTTTACTTTTGCTATTCAGGCTGGTACAGCACAGTTGCTTCAGACATGAGCTGTGTAAACCATGTCTATCAGATTTACTGCTTAATTTGGCAAAGGAGAGATTAATGTAAACAGGGAAATATTACAGAAATGGAAACAGGTAATGCTAGAAGAGATCGTTAGAAGTAATCAGCAAGTTCAGACTTCAGTAGATCTTATTTACACTGAGTGAAAAGAGGTGGTGGTACTGATAAATTACAGCAATGTTTCTTGGCAGTGTGTTTGTGAGAGGGGAAGGCTAGGTACTGTAGGGGAAAAAAAGGGCTGTTTTCTTCCTGGTAGTCAGGAATATATAAATAGAACTACCTTATTTCATTATTCTGTAGCTGCAGGTTTGCGGACACCATTGGCAGTACCAGGACCATACCCTGCTCCGTTTGGAATGGTACCTCATGCTGGCATGAATGGAGAGTTAACCAGTCCAGGGGCAGCCTATGCCAGTCTGCACAATATGTCACCCCAGATGAGTGCTGCTGCTGCTGCAGCTGCTGTGGTTGCCTATGGAAGATCTCCTATGGTAGGCCATGCGTTGCATGCAATCTCAGTTCTGTGAGTTGTGGTTCACTGAGAAGAGCTACATGCTTCATTTAGCTCTGTCGAATTCCCAAGTTAAAGCAGCACCAGAGGCTTGACAGCTTCACTGTGTGTTGCACTTTGCTGCGTGGCTGGAGAAACAAATTTGCACCTTGAAAACAAAGAATCTTGGTGTATTTATGTATGATTGCTTTTTTCTCCACCTTCATCACTGCTTTGACTGATTAATAAATGCCAAAAAATTATTTTACACTTTAAATGAAAAGGTGGTTTTGGCAGCTACAAAGTATTTCATTGGTGCTGTGGACATTTGTTTTCCTCTTGCTGAACCAGGTTTGTGTTCTGTACAGACATGCCAAATTATTCTCAAAGCATGTAGAAGTCTTATTATTTACATGTCTGTCCTTGTATTTTGCTTTATTTTTGGATATGAGCATGAGAAATAGGTCTGTACATATCTTGGAGCTCTGCAATAATGTGTGTTAAGAATAGCTGCTGTTGTGGGTGTAGTAAGTAAATGGAGCATTGTACTTACAGACACTGTCAAGCAGAATAACCTAGGGGCCTGATTCTGCAAACATGAGCTTGATGGCAGCTTTATGCATAGACAGACTTACCTACTTGTAAATTTGCAAGACTGGACTTAAGCTTGTCATCTTCTCATTATTGTAGATATGGCTACTTTTTTCAAACTGGTAAACAGGGCTTTTATGTGAAAATGTGGAAAATCTAAATAGCATATTCACTCCTTAAAGCAGTAAGAATTTTAACATGAATATGGTGTTTGGAAGAAAAACTAAGTCTGTTTGGTCTGGAATTTTCATTTGGATGATTTGATGTACATATTTATTCGGGACATAAAGGTGAGTGGAATTGCAGCATGTGAAGAGCGCACAGTATATTTAAGCTGTAGACAAATTTATCGGTACGCTGCGGTGTGGCTCCATGAGAGATCTCTCAGCTGATGTGCCCACACAGTGCGGTGTGGAGCCGTGCAGAGATTCTAGCCGGGGCCTGAAGCTGCCTTCCAGCACGGGTACGCGCTAGCTGTCGCAGAGGCAAAGCGTGCTGGCACGGCTGCGTGCTGACGCACCGCTGGCTAATTCCAGGGCTAGCTCTGTGCTGACACAGGGGTATTTGTGTTATGCTCGGTGGTGTGACTGCATAATATACACGATTGGTTTCTATTAGCATATGAATACTTCTAGCAGAAGCATACCTAGGGAAAACATCTTGTTTCTCCCCCCAGCCCTAGTGAAGGGACACGCACTTATCCAGTGCTGTGAGTAAAAGCCACATTTTGGTTGAACGCGTAACATCTTGGGGGTGAAGAAAAGGGGCTTGATGAATGAGAAATCGCAAGTGTATCATTAATTAATTTTTCATTGTCAGGTTGGGTTTGATCCTCCTCCTCACATGAGAGTACCTGGAATCCCTCCAAATCTAGCAGGGATTCCTGGGGGAAAACCGTAAGTAACTTTCAACATTTTGGTAACACCTGCAGTATCTAGAGAGAATAAAGTTAGTTTGTGCCAGTGAACAAGGATTCCAAAGGGGGGTGGTGTCTGGTTGTTAAGAGATTGAGACTTCTGCTGGTAAGAGGTGCAACATAGAAATTCTTACACAGTAGTTGTCTTACCCATAAGCAACTGTGCATATACCTATTTCCAAGGAAAAGCTGCTGAAGGTATACTTTATGTTTTTTTTTATTTCCTCCTTTCTGGGGGAAGTTAAGGGGACTACAGACTGGTAGGCAGTGGTAAAATGTGTAAGATAAAAACGTATGGAAACTAAACTTTGTACTGTACTGAGCATACACGTGTAATGCAAACTTGAAGACTCCTTCTCTGGCACCTCTTTTATCAGGCATGAGAGTCTTCAACTGCTGAGCACAGTGGGCTCCTGAAGCAGTTACTTTAGCAACTGATGCACATCTTGCATAATGGAGCAAGCTCCTTGAAATGTATGCATAAGTGTGCAGCTGGAGAGCAGAAGGATGATGAAGCAGTTGTGCAGCAGGTGGTGCATAGATATAGGATAACTTTCACAACAGGTTCTTTTTATTTGAAAGTTTTAATTATTGATGAAGAGGTGGTTAAATAAAATACTCCTGTGATGCTGTGGCTTATTGATGTTACAATAAAATACATTCAGCAAAACAGCATACATCAAATTTTTCAGTAATTTGGCTTTGGAAGGCTGTTGAGAATGAGTTTATCCATGTGCAGTGGGGTCACGAGCATGTATGACCTCTCAAAACGTTTTTATTTTAAAAGTATTTCTCAACAACTAGTCTATGCAGGTGCAAACAGAGCATAGACTGCAAATTTGACTAGTCTGTTTTTTTAGAGAGAGCGGGGCAGAGAGAATTCTAACAGGTTTTTCAACACTCTGGTGGAGCCTGTTCTTTGTCCCTTGATGTTTGGCATTCAGTTCTGTCTTCTCTTTCAACAGAAGGTTGCAGTTAGGGTAGTTTCTCTCTATCTCTAGGTTCTCACATAATTTCGAAACTCACTCAATGCTTTGCACTTCCTATGCTGGGTGTTCTTTACCAATCTATCAGGGTCTAATTTTTCCTTCTGCAGCTTCAGGAAAAATTCAGAAACCGTCACTTTTAGGATGCTATCTGAGGTTTGTAAGACACACTGTGGTGGAAGTTATGTACACACATACTTCCCTTTGCCTTCATTTTGAACTCCTGTTAATTGCCAGTGATACATTGTAACATCAGTCATGCAAACATCATTAAAAGTACACCAGATTACAGACAAAAAAAGTGTGTTTTCTTCTACTCTTTTTCTGTAACAGTAGGAAAGACATTCTGGATGTATTTTTGTTGTTATCCACCATGCTTCAGAGAACAGCCTTAGCTATCTGTTGGCAGTGTGAGAAGCCTGTTAAATCTTGGATTTTCTTAAAGAAAAGTTGGTGGTACCTTGACAAGATTACTGAAGTGAGGGCTCAGTTTGTTGAGGGCTCAGTGAGTTGGTGTTATGTATCAGGTGGTAGTGTATTTAAATTTAGTACAGTAAGGAACAGGCTTTGTTTTCAAAACATTCTTTTGTTAAGGGTCAGACTCATTCTTACTGACTTTAGTAGAATTTGGCATACTCATAGGAAATATTTTTGGAGGTCGCATAATCCAATGGCAGTAAGATTTTACTTTTAAACAAGTATATTCATAAGCTTTCGATGACTTATTCCATTAATAATGCCAGGCAATATTTTATATTACAAGCTATGAAAACCTGTTTTAGTTCAGTCAGATATTTTCTGTGCCCAAGTTCTAGTTGTTTCACTATTCAAGGCACAAAACCAGTGCATGTATGCTGCTATCTTTTCTATCCTGGTATTTCATGGCTAAATTACAGACTGGGGTTTTTAAATAATCTTTTTATTTAGTGCTTTCAGCACCTTATTTACATTGTTTCATAGTTCGCCTGCTTTGATACATACTCCTTACTCTCCATTTGATTTGATGTGTTCTGTAACATTTTTTTGTGGTCATTTTACTTGGACTGAGTCAGACATTTCCAAGTGACTTCTTTGCTTATCTTTATTGTAAATGAGGCAAACCAAAAATTCCACAGACTGACCTGTTATCTTTTCATTGACACTTTTAGAACGATCTTGTGTTTTAGTCGATTGGCTACAGGTAGATAGATGCCTTCTCCTACCTACAGCATCATTGCGTATCTCTTACCTGCCTTAGGCAACTCTCCTATATTTTCTGTACAAAGTACATGGCTTATATAATTACACAAACTAATGGAATACTCCTGATTTATTTTCAAAATCTGCCTTTTCCTAGAATGCAATTAAGGTGCTGCATTGAATTGTTTTTATGAGATGTGGAGTTTTAGTCTGAGTCTTGTTGCAAATGGTATAGAGAATTTTCAATTTGAACTATTGAATCCCCAGCCATATGTGTATGCTCATGGCTGCACATTTTTATCAGTGGTTATGCTGGGACTGTTTTTTTCACCCAGCTCTGCTTCCAAGAGAAAATTAAATTCTTTTCTTTCCAAAGGAAAGACATTTCTGATAGCACCCATTTTTCTTTAACCTCTGTGTATTCTGATTTCTGTTAATGACTAGCTTGGTAGAAGAATTAATAGCCTCTTAAGAACCCACTCCTGCTTGCCTGTCTGCTTTTATCAAGGGACTGCTGCCTGGAAAACTTGTCTTTTGCTTGCCTTTTTTTGTAATTTGCTTAAATGTAGATCTTTACTACCAACTTCTTACGTTCCTGAAAGCGAATCCTTCAGTTTTGCTCATTGCAGAATCTAACCTTGTTAGCAGTGGTACAGATGTACTTAGGAAATTAGGTAGCAATGTAGAAAGCCAAAGTGTCTTCAGCAAATTCTTAATTATACAAATGAACTAGTCTTTGCATTTGGTCGCAGATTTTGTTGGTTTTTTTTTTTTTTGTTTGGGTTTTTTTGTTTGCTCGTTTGTTTGGGGTTTTTTTTAAATTATTTCCTATGAGGCTTTTCAGGTTTTTCACATTACTTTGATATTTTGGTGTACACACATGTGATCTCATATTAGTTGTTCTCAAGGTGTTTGTAGCTAAGTAATTAGTTTTATGGACAAGAACTTGGTAGCTATATGCGTGTTTGAATGTACATAAAATAAGTTTTCATAGTCTGATTTCAAAATTGATTTTTATCAGTAGATGATTCTTCTCTTAGCAGTTCTTCTGGTTTTGGGTTTGTGGGTTTGGTTTTGTGTTTTTGTTTGTTTTTTTTTTTTTTTTTGTTTTGGTTTTTTTGGGGGGGGGGGGGGGGGGCGGTGTGGAGTGGGGTGTTTCTTCTTTCCAGATTTCCTGGACCCATCGCCTAATCAATAATTATATTTGTCCTAGGTTGGGGGATGGGAAATCAGTGCCAGTCTTCATCAATCAGACATGTGGTGTCTGAGTCTTGCACTCTGTTGTTTTTATACATTTAACTATGCCCTGGACTGTAGGTTCTTGATGTGTTGCTGTAGTCATGTCTTTTGCTTTGCATAGACTCTCTAGAAGGGTATTTATCTAGCTTTTAGTTTTCTGTAGCTGCTAAATTAACATTCTTGTGGATTTCTCCTTGATGGTGAACCACACTTTCTAGTAGTTGGATTATGCACTGAACAGATTTTCAAGCTCAGTGGTAAGATTTATGTCCACAGTGTTGCTTCCCAGGTGTCTAAAATTGTGAATTAATGGTAGCATTACAGACAAATGTATTTCTCAGTATTTTTTTCAAACGTGGTTTTAATTGAAGCACAAGGTGATACACACAGACAAAACAAAGAACTGAAAATGTACATTTGTTATTTTAGTAGGAAAGGGAAATTTCATGTGATAAATGTTAACTCTAACTCTTTCAACTTCTAGCTATAAGCCAACTTTTCTTTGTGTTTTTGGAAAGGGATAGTGTACTGTTCTGGAATTGCTCAAGGCAAAAATTAAAAGTATTTCAGTTCACCTGATCTTCACACTTGTACAGTGAGTGTACAGTGAGGAATATTTGAAAAGGAGGCTAATTTTATTATATTCTAGAATAACAGGTCATTTCCCCCCCACACCCCCCCGCCTTTTGTATCTCTGGATAATTATTTGTTGACATGTATGAAGTTAAAGATTTTGTTATTTCTATATAAATACCTTTGTTCTTGTTTCTTGGCATTTTGTCCAATATAATGAAACACTATATTCAGATATTCAGTTTGTTGTGATAACTACAAGTAAAACTAAGATGGAGTACAAGGAAGAGCTGAAAGTAAAATGCACTCATGAGTAGAAGAAACTGTCTGCTTTTGTATTTTGAAGTTGTGGTATTTTTGTACTAGTTAAGGAATTCTGTTTGAGCTGAAGGGATGAAGGGGAAGCTTTGTGGGTTTTGTTTTATTTTTTTTAATTTTTTTTTTTTTTAAGGCATGGAACTTTTAAGTAGGCAGGAATTGCATGCATTATATCAATTTGAGTACTTAGATTAGCTGTCAGCTAGGTAGTTTAGTTGATTTGCCATGTTCCTGAGCAGTGGATTAATTATTCTGAACTCTCGTCAGCAGGTCAGATGATATTTATTACATACTTATTTGATACTTACTTGGAAATAGGAGGGCCATAATTACCAGATTTAAGTTGATAAACTGGGTAGTATTAGTATCACCTACCGTATTGTAATGTGTAGGAACTCTGCAGGTTCTCAGTGCTGCTTTGACACAGATGAGGATAAATCTTTGGGTGAAATAGATCAGAATAACATTTCTGTTATTCAGAAAGAATATAATCATAAGTGACAGTATTCTATTTCTCAGAACTCTCTCCTAAACAGAAGGCATGCAAGTGTCTTGTAACTGTTTTTTTCATAATATACAATTAATTACAAGTGTATGTTTGCATATTAATTGATATGTACTTAGTCTGGTTTATGTTTAATTGTAATTGTACTGTGTAAACACTTTCTCTTTGTTCACTGTGGTTGTTAGCCCAGCATGAGGGAGGGCTATCTTAAGGTTCACAGTCGTTTTGACCAAAGATGGATAATCATGGAACCCAGTCATAACATAGAGACAGAATGCTGTGAGATGGACATCCATGATCGTCATGAAGGTGATGAGGAGTTTCTGGCCCACACTGTCAGTTATAAAAGATCATCACAAAAGGACAAAAATGGACATTACATTTTTGCAGTGTTACGGAATTCAGATGTCAGTAGCAATTTCTTGAGGAGAAAGATAGGTGGGCAAGGGGTGCCTGTCAATAAATACTTTGAGTTTTAGAGAACTCAAGAATTTACCGAATTTTACTAAATATTGGCTCTTAAGGCTGGACAACCAAAATTTGTGTCAGTTTTGGGAATTCAGACCTGTGAATATATATAGTGCACTAAAAATTGAGTAATTTCTTAATCTCATGGAAGTACACCTGCAGCTTTGTGAGTGTGGCAGAGGAAGTGCAGTCCTCCCCAGAAGTGGCAGAGTAGGTCTTCTGACACGGTGGCCTAATGGACAGGTATCCAAGGACAACTGCAATTGAGCTGCAAGTAGTTGTTTGCCCTGCTGTCTGCAATACCATGTTCTTCTGGAGACAGAAGCTTTCCTTGTATAGGGAGTGTCAGTCTTGCACATGACGCAAGTTTTTTCAAAGCAGAAAGTACGTGTAATGAAAAGTTAATCTGTAATACCTAGTGGATACAAGTTACTAGACCAGATGAGTATGCTGACAGTGGTCATGTTAGCATGACATGCCACACGTTCCAGCAGACACATTTACTTTTTTGTGTGCTTGTCTTGGCAGGGGCAGAGGGATTTGGCAATGTGTAGCCATTTCTTTATACAGTGGGTTGCTGATAACCTGCACTGCAGAAAAAGCTGCCTTGGATTCTAAGAAACTATCACTGCTCTGTTTGTTAGGCCCTCAAACTCAAGTTATCCTGAGTCCTGACCGATCAGTCTTGGAAGCAAATGCCTGCTCATGATGATAAAAAAGAGAGACTACTCTTATGATCTATATAACTGCACTTTAAACATGGGCATACTGGTAACATTTTACATGACTAAAAGTACACTGGGTAAGTTTCTGGCATTTCAGAACAGGAAAGTCATCATAATTCTCCAGTATGCATGAAGCACTTGAAAAATGTTCCTATTGTCTTCCTCCCACCCCATCTCAGCAAGAACTGAGAAGCTGTGTGTATGCACAGAAGCATTTCATAACACCAATTATTTAGGTATTTTGAACAGAACAGAATGTTTATACTGTAACCTTCCATTAAAAAAAAAAAAGAAATCACATACAAGTGGATTATTCGTCTTAAACATGCTGGAAAAAATTGCTTAATACTTGCTTAATTATTTTTCTTCTGTCCATGATAAAAGCAAGGGCAGGCTGAGACTTCAAAGTCGTGCAGTTCTGTGTACTTGTACTGCTAACAAATATTCTGCAGCTGACTTTGATCTGGAATCCGGGATGGGGCCCAGCTTTTCAGCCTCAAGTGCTATGACTCCTTAGTTGGATTCTATACCTGAACCTCAGCAGTTGTTCAGCCTTGAGCAGTCTTGTTGCCACTCCTCTTCTGCTTCCTCTCTCATCTTGTGTTTCATCTGTTTAGTGAATAACTACTTTGGGACAGTCCTGTCTTTATTCCTCTTCACAGAAATGATACAGATTTCTAGTTAAGCCTTTATCATTACTTTAATTCTTCATACCAAAAAAGAAAAAGGGGTCCCATGGAAAGAAATAAATTTGATACACTCTGCATCTCGTCTACACGTAAGGGAATTTCCGTATACTTGAAATCATGCACTGAATACAAATAAAACGTGTTACAGAAGTGCCAAAACTACCTGGGAAACTAAGCCTTTCAGCTTTTCCAAAATACTTATTCAAGAAAGCATAATTATGAGAAGATGGTATCAGCTTTCTGATGAAAGGTGTGTTGCAGCCACTGTGCATGTTTCTGTTTTCTGTTTAAAGCACTAATTACAATCTGAAAAGAGAGGCATGTGAGCAGAGTTGGTGCTGATGTTAAAGATGAGGTACAGAAATTGAGTGAAAGTTTAACTTTGCCTAGTGCTACCGCAAGGCAACAGGTGCAAACCTCATAGAAGAAGGCTGAAAGAGTAGTGCCTGGTGAGGGATTGCTGCTGCAGGACTTGTGGTGCTGAGATCTGGAACTGCTGGCTAGGAGTGAGGGGCTAAAAGATCTTTTGATTACCCAGGTGGATGACAGATAGCAGCCATGACCTTGGTCTGTAGAGTTGAGGGTAGAGTTTGACATGCTTCCGCACTGCATGAATACTTAGGGTGAGGCAAGCTGAAAATACCTATTGTGAATCCTTGTCTCTCTCTGAGGTTTCATGAAATTGGATTAAAAAATACTGTGTTTTGCTTGCATTATGGCACTGTAACTGGCTGATTTTTTTTGTTTGTTTGTTTTTTGTCTTCTCTCTTCTTTCCCATCCCCAAAAGAGCCTACTCCTTTCACGTTACTGCAGATGGTCAGATGCAGCCGGTTCCTTTCCCTCCCGATGCCCTCATCGGTCCAGGAATCCCTCGCCACGCCCGTCAGATCAACACTCTGAACCACGGGGAGGTTGTCTGTGCAGTTACCATCAGCAACCCCACGAGACACGTGTACACGGGTGGGAAGGGGTGCGTCAAAGTCTGGGACATCAGCCAGCCTGGCAACAAGAGTCCTGTCTCTCAGCTGGACTGCCTGGTAGGTGAACAGGAACTTGTGCACAAGGGTAGCTTCTCCTTGCAGGCTCAGTAAGGAAATAGCTGTCTTTGTCTGGATTTTGTTCATATTGCAAGGAAATAGCAGGCAGTTCTGTTTCCTGCTTATGTATTTAGCTGTCTTTTTTTAACACATAACAGGTGGAACTACAGAGAAGATTGCTGGTTTATTTAGGGATAAATATCATCACTAAGATCACTAAGAGTCAAATAACAGATTAGATAAGATTTCTGAGTAGAGAACGTACTTGATTTTTTTTCCCCTTTTTTCTTTTTATTTTTTTTTTTCTCTGCCTGCCCGCCTCTCCTCCCCTCCTCCCCCCTTCTAGTTATGCTCAGGATTTTTGTGCATGGGTTTGAGGAATGTATCCTGGCTTTTTCAGGGCTGCACAGACCCTTCCTAGGTGTTTCAATCACACCAGAAATGACAACCTCTTTTTTTTTTGTAAGAGGGTAGCAACCACATAATGAAATAATGGGACAAGGTACCAAGGTCACTGTAAGTCTTGCTATGCTTTTGTTGGTGATGCACAGGTTGTACATTTTAGTTGTTTGTATTCACATCTGCAGTATACAAAAGGGACTGAATGTGGTGGTATGGGTAGCTGAAAAGCTAACTCAAAAAAGTTAATGGCTCAATAAAAGATGCTTCTCATGTTAGAAACAGCATAGATATTTATGAGACGTTAACTGAGAAGACTTAATGTCACAAAGCACAGTAATACATATTCTGAATGAAAATAATTCTAGCTTCAATGTTGATCCAATTAAATAGGGTGGGTTTTTTGTTTTGGTTTATATATTTTAGCCTTTACCCTTTGTTTACTGCTACCTTTATGTTACTTGTCTAGTAGTAAACACTGTACATCTATTCTTTTCTGTGGCAGGTATGTGTCTGGATGCACAGTCCTAGCTGCCTTCCTCTTAGTTATGGAGCAGTAGTGGCTGGCTGACTAATGCAGCATTGCCACTGCACTACTTACAGCTCCTTTGCTGTGAATAAAAAAAAAAAAAAAAGATTAGTGGTAGGAATGCTGTTGCCTACTTCTTGCAGTGGTTTTTTTGCATGTTATGCATTACAGATCTTAACCCTCCACTTCCTAAAGAACGGTTACCGTGTTAATTTGGCAGCTGTTATGGAGAAATGGACATCCAATAGATTTACGGAGTCAAGCTTGTACTAAACGAAAGTTGAAATGTTTCCACCTCTAAATCCTCAGTAGTACCTCTCAATCAGCAATAGTATCACAAACATGAAACTAATAATATAAGTACGATAAGAATCAGGGTGAACAACAAAGGACCAACGTAAATCCAGGACCAATATGGGAATACTTAATATTTTAACTTTAAAATGATGAATGCAAAACAGTATTTGAAAGAAAACTGCAGAACCTGAAAAGCATGAGATCTGAACTGAATTTTCATGTAGGGCTGCCTAAATGCCAGGTGAAAAGGTGGTCATCTGCTTTAATATTTCTATTGTTGATGACCTTAGCTGATGGAGTACACTTGCAGAAGAAATTTGTCTCTGTTTTTATGTAATGAGATGGAGGATTTGCCATTCATTCATCAGGTTTAAAACAGAGTAGACTGTGGCAACAGGAGTCCACAGTTTAATTTCTGCAGCTGCAGTCTCTGGTTAGTGATGAGATGTAGGTGTTTGAATCCTTTCAGGATCTGCTGGCTCCTCTTCAGTACTTTGGTAATGGAAAAAATAGTGTACTGTTTAAAACTTGGATGCAGTCAGAATCATATTAATGTTCATTATTGGCAGGCATGTATTAACATAACTGAGATGACTTGTGTTGTTCAGAACAGAGATAACTACATCCGCTCTTGTAAATTGCTGCCTGATGGATGCACCCTAATAGTTGGCGGGGAAGCCAGCACATTATCCATATGGGACTTGGCAGCACCAACTCCTCGTATAAAAGCAGAGCTGACATCCTCAGCCCCTGCCTGCTACGCTCTGGCAATCAGCCCTGATTCCAAGGTATGCTTTTCCTGCTGCAGTGATGGGAACATCGCGGTGTGGGATCTGCACAATCAGACATTGGTCAGGTGAGTCACTGCTTGTTTACAGAAAACTTTAATAGAACTTACTCTTTGGACAGCTACATAAATATTTATCTCCCTGAATAGTGGTTCATGACAGCAAAGTAAATAATATTTCTTAAACAAAGAAAGCTGTTTGCACCAGAGTTGGGCAGAAACTAGTTTTGGTAGCTTCAACCTAGTCTTGAAAGATGCACTTTCAGGGCCTAAAGGGTTGGTCCGTAACCTACAGCAATCAGTGTAAAAGTTGCTGTTGGTTTCAGTTAGTTGGGTTTTGTCTGCAGGCTTCTACAAGCAGCATTTCTGCTGGTCTGTGATTGATGTAGACTGAACATGCCTTTCAGGGAACTCTGAGGTTTGTTCTTTTCCTTTGTCTTAAGCTTTGTTAGGTAATAGAATTTTCAGTTCTTATTTAGTGATGATTTGTAATAAAATTAATCTTATAAAAGTGGTTGAAAGTGTGGATCCTCTTAGTTCTTTAGGAAAGCATAAAGAACTGATGTTTGGTCATTCATGAGAGAAGGGTGTATGAGGTTTTGGGGGGAACTTGATCTCTAAACCTTTTAGAATGGGTTGCAAAGAGTATAATAAATGGATTTCCATGTAAATTACTTGTGAAATCTTTTGTTAGACCTTTGATTAATGAGTATATTAATAGAAGATTAAAGTGTCTGGCCGGTCAACATTCAGCTCTAGTGCTATGACAGAGAAAGAAAGATAAGGCCATGTGTGAAATGGCTCTTAGCAACTAGCTGTGTGGTTTACTAGAGGATAAATTTTGGTTTATACTTACCAAAGTAGTGGTGGCTTACAATATTATGAGAAGAGAGAGTCTAAATTGGGAAAGGCCATGATATTTCAGAAGTTCCAAATACAAACACTGAAGAATCTGCTTAGTCTGCTGTGTTTCAATTAAATTTCCTATATATCAATAATTAGCCTAAACTTATGTGAGTCATATTAATGTGCATGCAAATTCTACTTTCTGTTGAACTTTAGGTCAACAAACATTTTAGTTATATAAAATCTTCAGTTTGTCCTACGCATGCTTAGTCTCTGTAAAGCTGTACTCTCTCCATCTATGACTGTCTTGTCTTTTGAATGTTTGCTGTAGGTGTTCCCACCACTTGTTGGCTGATCTTGTTAATTGATAACACATGGAATTCTGAGACCAGAGCTACAAAACAAAATGTGCCGTGTGACCTTTCTGTGGCAGCTTTTAGTGATTCATACCCTTCGTTCCCAAGATAGTTGTCTTCCCGCACCACCCCCCCCCTCCCCCCCCAGCCCTCCACCTTTCACATTGAGGCATAGGACTTTTCTTAAAGCTAATTGCTGATGAAAAATGCAGGAGCCTCAGAAGGCTTTTGCCAAAGGATTAAGGAAAACTTGAGATGACCTTCTGGTTGCTGAAAGCTGAGAATTACTAATGAGAAGATTTTAAAACAAATGACACCATTTAGATTTTTGTGATCTCCTGCCACAGAGAATGCAACTTTGCTGACTCGGCAATGCTTGTATTTAACTATCTGGATCTCTCTCTGTATTCCTTCCTATTAATATGTCTTATTATTTATCATCTTGACTTGCAGCCAAAGAAAAATACAGAAGCTGTTTTCTGAAACTGGAGAAGTTTTGTTCCCTCAGCACTTGTTTTAATCTGAATTGTGTTTATTGCTTTCAACTATAGTTACTGTACTTTAATGTTCTCATGAGGGTTTTTTTGTTTTTGTTTTGTTTTTTTTTGTTTGTTTTGTTTTGTTTTTTTTTTTTTTTTTTTTTTTTCCCTTTTCAAAACCTGATAGGAAATATTTGAATTTATTCAGTTAGCGATGATGCAATGCATTTCTCTAGCACCTGGAAGATGTTTTTGTAATACTGTATTTCATGCTTAGTAAGAGGGAGGGGCTGATTTTTGCCCATCAGCAGACACAGAAGAGATGACACACACATACAGAGTCCAAAACTAACACCACAACAGTGTTTACCTTGAGCTCTGGCAGGAAATCATTATTCAATCTGGTTTGTTTTATCAGGCAATTCCAGGGCCACACAGACGGAGCCAGCTGTATTGACATTTCTAATGATGGTACCAAGCTCTGGACAGGAGGTTTGGATAACACTGTCAGGTCCTGGGACTTGAGAGAGGGGAGACAGCTACAACAGCACGACTTCACATCACAGGTAACTGGATTTTCCTACAGCTTGGAGGGGGGTGAGAGGGTTGTGTGGTGGGAGGCAAACATTTGGGATGAAAGCTGAGATTGAGCCCAGTGCAACTGGCAGATTGTTCCCTCTCTTGCAGTATTTTGGAGCTTTCGTATGCTTAGCTTCCAGAGCAAAATGATAGCCTGACAGACACTACTTTCTTTTCCTATTTTTTTAAGTTAATAAGTAAGAACAGGGGTTATTTAGTCACCTGAATCTTTAACATCAGTCCTGCTATCGAACTATGTGAATTTTATTTCCCCCCGACTTCCTCTTTCCCTCTGTTCTGTTCCCTCTCCCTCCCTCCCCCGACCCCTTCTTCCTTTCGTCCTCCCCCACTCTCTCTCCCCCTCCTGCCTCCTCTTCCCCCGGCCCCCCCCTTCTCTCTCTCCCAACTAACTTAACAACTGTAGGGAGAAAAAAAAAAAAAAAGGATATCTGTATGCAAAAATAACAAGCTTAAATGTGGTTTATTTTTCAGATATTTTCCCTTGGTTATTGTCCTACTGGTGAATGGCTAGCTGTGGGAATGGAGAGCAGCAATGTAGAAGTGCTACATGTAAATAAACCAGACAAATATCAGCTGCACCTTCATGAGAGTTGTGTATTGTCACTCAAGTTTGCTTACTGTGGTAAGTTACCCTGAACACAGAACAGGAGGTTGCTGATTAGTTATTACATAGTCACAGCTCATTTGATAATAAAAACTTACTTAGTATCTCAGTTTCTTAAGTTATGAATAAATATCTCTGCTTTGTGAATTCAAATGTGCTTATCTACAACCACCCATTTGTCTAAAGGCTGCTGTGAGGGTTGATTTGGGTATAAAAAGGTATTTTTACTTACAGTCTAGGGATTTCCTAGTGTATAACACACTGCAAAAGTGTGAGTGTCCATATTGATTGTAAGTAAAAGTACAATGTTGATTAGTGGCGAGAGCTTGTATAATGGTAATTAGTTAACAGATTTCATAGGTGTGCGTTGAAAACTCAAATCTGTCAGATGTTTGTTTCATATGTTTCTATAGTTGTTCTGTTTTATATCCTAGGTAAATGGTTTGTGAGTACTGGAAAAGATAACCTACTTAATGCATGGAGAACTCCCTACGGAGCCAGTATCTTCCAGGTGAGGATGATGATGCTTTAAAAGAAAAAACTAGAACACCCAGAGTCCTCTGAGTGGACTCAGATATCTTCATCTATGTGATCTACGCAAAGTGTGATTCTGAGATGAGGGTAACAGACTTACTTTTTTTTTTTAATGATGTAATATATTTCTATTTTTCTTCTAGTCCAAAGAATCTTCATCAGTGCTTAGCTGTGACATCTCTGTGGATGATAAGTACATAGTCACTGGCTCTGGAGACAAAAAGGCTACAGTCTATGAAGTTATCTACTGAAAAATATGATGGGGATATAACTTTTAGAAGTTGAACTGGGCCAAAATTGTTCTTAATGGTAGAAGTAGAAAAGTTTTGCCTTTTAAAAAGGAACAAAAGTATTGAGGTTCCAGACCTTGCCATGAAACTACTCCGATTTTTCAAAATAGAAGGCAACATCCAGCAACTAAATATTGGCTACATGGACCAAACGGAACACAGTGGAAAGATGGACAGATGTGGCCTAGGTTTTTGACATAGTTTTTAAAAGCTGAGTCTACTGAAGAATGTTGGAGCCTTTTATTTTTTTCTTTCTTTGTGACCTCATGCAAATTGTTCTCATTGCCTGAATATGGGGGATAAATACCTTTCTGTTCCTTGCAGTTCAAGTTGCATTCTGTCCTGTGTAGAGCAGTGGTGTCTCAGATGAACTTGTTTCCTGGTTTTGCATCTTGTGATATGTTTTTGTATTTTTTGTTGAAGGTCAAACATTTGTATAAATTGTAAATATATTTAGTTTATTACAGTAAAGGCTTTAGTACCAACAACCAGTCTTCCCCCCTGCCCACTCCCTGCCCACCTTGCTTATTTAAAATTAAAAACCTTTGGGGATATAAGTACCTTTTTAGAAGCAAAACAAACACTATGTATAGTTTGAAAATGGTGTCTTATTCTTTATAACTCTTCCTAGATTCCTTTATCATACTTCAAAGTAGTTGTTTTGACATATTAGGGTATCAAGTCCAGTAGATACTGTCTTGTGCTACAGAAAACTTAAAAGGCAATTTTGTACTAATTATAGTGTAAATATAAAAATTGAACATTTCATAAAGTTGTGCAGTTTATTTTAAGTTTATTCTGATGTCCCATGTATATGTTCTTTGGCAGATACAGTAATACATGCCTGATCATAACTCATTTGGTCATTTCTCTAGAAGAAGAGGTGACTTCCCTCTCCTTTCTCCCCTAGCTGAACAGAATTCATACAAGACTGCATTTCAACTAAGTATATCAGAGCCTTTGTTCATTAAGTGAGGATGTCTGTGATTAAACAAAGCTATATAAGTTGCATCCTTCTGTTTTACAGAGAAGTGGTAGTTAATGACCATTTCCTTTTAATGTCTTGTCTATACTTAGATACTCAGGTAAATTTACTTAAATTACCAAAAGTGTGAGCTTTACAGGGGGATCACTTAAACAATGTTAAATACTTGCAGAGCTGCAAGTGAAGTGAATTAACCTAAACTAAGTTAAACTCACTTCTTAATTTCTTGTGAGAATATTGACAAAGGAATATTTTGATTTTTAACTAATCCACTGGACAAATTAATTAGAATTAATTTTCCTGAGTGTCCCATGTCACACAGGCCTGTAGGCTCTATATATTCATACTGAGCAATCTTTGAGTCCCTTCCACTGTTGCTTCAGTGTGTGATATCTGTGGAGAGTCATGCTAAGCAGCCAGTTACCAAAGCTATGCATCTTCAAATCAAGTTGTCTTGGTGTACTCAAGAGAAATGGATGAGGAGAGAATGTGTACATTTTATTCTGTTTTTTCAGATTAACTAGTTGTACCACTGTGTGCCAGACAAACCTAGTTATTGTACCAGTGAGGGACATACATTTCCTACATTCTGTAATTTAATTAGAATTTCTGTTGCTAGTGGAGAGGACAGATGGACAGGAGAATATCTTTAAACAAATAATACAGATTATTTGTTCAGAAACTGACAGACAGGTTAAGACTCATCTGTGAAGAGATACTTTCTCATTTTGCTAGCATTTGACAGTGACCTATACCCCTGCTCTTTCAAAGACAAGTAGCTAGGAAGAAACAAGTTTGACTGACAGATGCATTGACTGGATAGGGAATTTCTCACCTGGGGGCAAATTTTCTCTCAATTTCCAGTCTGAAGAGACATCAGTTTTCTTTTCAATTTACATGACCGTTCTACTGAAACCATTTTATAGCATCTAGAACTGTAATAGCCTTAATGCAGTAATTTTGCATTTGGAATGTAAAATGTTAACCAGTCAGGATTATCTGGTCTCCTAGACATTTAAAATTAGTGTTCTATCCATATATATCTATATCTGTCTATTGCTGTGTTGTGAATAATCATCTGTATGAAAATGACAGATCCGCTTATGTGGTGGTCATGTTCACACATAGTGAAGCAAAAAGCAGAATCATCAGACTTTACAAAGAAATAATTATATTTGCCACATTGAAATACTGTGATGTGCTATGCCATTTTCAACGGTAAGTTTAAAAAAATAATATGTAATGGGTTACTTATTTTTATGCTGACCCTGTTTTCATACTGAAATTTTTCCAAACATCTGACTCTGACAATGATCACTGAGTTTGTTCAGCAGCACTGGCAGATCTGATATAGTTAGCATTATTTGGATTTCTTCCAAACCACTATCACCTTGCATATATTTTATAGGTGTTCTTTTGCCTTTCTTAAAAGTTGATATCAGAGGAAACAAGGAATGCAAGTACTCTAACAAATACATGTAACTTTAAAAAAAATATACACATGTATATAGTGGATCTGCTCTAAGTTGTGACATAGTGGTTGTTAGTAAGACCACATTCTTGGCAGTCAGAAGGTTCAAAACCATAGTGTCAAGAAAATAATGAAATATGTTGTCTGTTCTTGTTAGCTTCTAGAATGCACAATGAGTCAGAGCAATTACAGAATTGGATGTTATTTATGCATGTGAAAGAATTTAATCGTATTTGTACCATATGTTTTTTGGTTGTAATTAAGAAATTACTTCTTTTTTTTCCCCAATCAGACCTACTTTAAGCTTTGGGTTGGAAAACGTGGGGACACATCATACAATAGTCCTCTCAATTTTCTGTTTCAGGTTTTACTTACACTTCATGAAACATTTTTTTTTCATCTGTCAAACAGTAGAGCCTATTCCACCAGCAGATGTAGCTTTTAATGAAAAGATACATTTGGTGAAATCTTGGCGTGTCTGCCTACATTACTGCTTACAAGATTTAAAACTTGTAGAGCTTAAAAGTTCTGTAAGTTCTTACAGCCCTGTATAAAGTAGTGGGTAGAAATGGATATTGAATGAAGAAACAGATCAACCCAGACCAGCAGTAACAGAAGGGCACAGGGAAAAACACATGGAAAAAAGAGGTACAGCAGTAACTATAGTGTAGGTAATTAATATGTTTTTGTCAATTTAATTACAATCCTAAAAGATTCCTTTGATTAGCCCCTTTCTGGGACAGTCTTTGCTTGCTGGGTGGCCCTCAGTATTCAGAGATGTCTGAATGCCACTCTGGCAAACACTAGTGCCAGATAGAAGCAGGGAGTTCTTACAAATAACATATTGGATGTCAGTGCAAACAATAACTGATGAAGAGGAGATTTGTGGTAATATCAACTCAACTGAACAAAATCCTTTGCCAGCTCTAATATGTGTGTTTTGAATATGTGCACTAGGCATAACCTTTTATAAATCAGTTGTGCAGAAAATCATTATATTATTCCATACAATGCATTTTTCAGTGTGTCAGCATACCTCTTTTGATTATAGTTCCAAGCAAAGGTAGTTCCTCACATCAACCCACAAGCCGCTGGTCCTTGAGAGAGAATTTTCATCCCCATTAATTCCTTTAAACTCGTTTGGCATTTCAAAAGCTTTTGTTCTTTTAAAGGGAAGAGGGAGCACCAAATGAATATGAAGTTCATAGAATGTTAAAATAATAGTGTTATTTTTTAATATAAACACCAAAGTAGAATCTGTCATCTAGTCCCACACATACTTCTGTGTATAAACAATTGACCATTATTTTTCTGTCACATCTTTGTACTGATGATGCAGGTAGAATTTTGGAAATGCCTAAGTAACTTAATAATTTAAACACAAAATGACAAACTGATTTTTTTTTGGTGATTGTTTTGTTTTTTTGTAGAAAGACTACCCCACTTACGAGCCTGTGGGATCATGTAATCTAGTTAGAGTAGCTCTTCATATTTTCTATTATATTCGTGCAATTTTGAGTCAGTGGGGAAGTTCCACCATTCTGTTGATTAAGAAAGGTGGATTTTAATGTTTTCAGGATAAAGAAGAGTACCGAATTCAGATTTCGCACTACTGATAAAATATTTACCCCTTACGCCACTTCACTGGAGAAGCTGGACTGGCTCCAACTGTGTTGTATCTTTGAAGGATTTTTTTTTTTTTTTTCCTGCCATAAGTGCATAGAAAGAATGTGAGAATGTAGGTCTGTACAGGACTTGAGTCATGACATCCTGCCAGAGAGAGGTCTTTCATCATGGAGTGGGAAAGATGAAGCAGCTCACAGTAGGACCTGATGAACACCAGAATGAAAGAAAGGGTTCATGGCAGGGAATACACGGAGGGATGAGGGAGAATGGAAACATTACACACATATTAGTGGTAATCTAACATGTAATCTACACAATTCACCTGCAATGAGATTTCAGTATGCAATTTCACTGACTTCTATTTCTCTGAAGTTGTTCAGATGTTTCTGTGTAGTAATTCAAGGACACCAGCGCTGTGTACTGGAACTGGAAGTGGGCATTTCTTTGACATCCATAAGCAGTCCTCTAATCCTAAGAGGAAAGAGAGTTAAATCACAGCCAGTTCTCAACATTTCCCATTACCTAATATTTTTGTAGCTCAAGATCAGCTTTCCAGCAATTGATAATCCCATTTTCAGCTACATGCTCCCAGATGTCCCATTGCAGCTTAAGTGCTTAGTGCAGCATGGTAGATTTTGCTAGGGAAACTAGACATATAGGAACTGGGTGCTTTAAAAATCTGCCCTGTGGGTCTAGTTTACTGACATTTCTGAGAAGTTTACTCAGAATTTCTGTTCAACTATATAGGAGAGCTCAGACACTGATTTAAACATTTTTCTAAACCACCAAAACTGCTTTGAACACACTTTAAGCACATGGGTGTAGAGGGTTTTTTGCTTTTTTGTGCTGAATTATTTCATTTTTTCTTGCATATCTTTAAAAAAACTACAAATAAAATACAAGAAAACACAAAGGGAAATAAGAATGAATGAATAATTGTTTTTAGAGGGCAGAATGTTCTAAAAGATGCTATATCTCAAAACAAAAGAACCTATTTCTTCTACAATATATTAATTCTTGAGAGAGTTGGATTTGTGTTTCCCTGGAGCTAAAGTTCTATTCTCAGAAAACTAAATGCCAAAAAATTGGTGGTATGGTGCCAGTTTTAGTTACAATTTTTGAGCAGTTTTGTTGTTTTTTCTTCCCCCCCCCCCCCCCCCCCCCCCCCCCATATTACTTTTTGCCAGGACCCACAGTTCACTCCCAGAAGCTGAACAACAGGCTGTGCCCTTTCTGGTTTATGTATTAGTACGAATTTTGTTGCTAACAAGTCTGTTGGTGATATGTAGACTACAGGAAAATATGACTGAATCTTTTAGTGGATAGCTGCATAGATAATATCATAATATCAGCCAGTGTATGTTGTAATCATTTCCCTTACTCTGAAGCAAGCACCCAGAGATAAGATAGCGTCATTGTTCCATACTCATACTTCTATTGTTTGTGGAATTGCTAGTCAGTGTAGTTCACTTGCCATAGAAGAACTCTGTTGTGGCTTCTGAGGTAAAACTTAAATTTTGAGATCTTTCCTCTCCTGAAATTTCACATATAATTTTGTCTACAGTAAGGTTATGTTGATTCATAGAAGAGATGCTGCAAGGAGCACTAGACAGTTGCTGTTGCGTAGAGTTTGGCAAGGATTGCCTTTGCTGTGTTCACAGTACAAAGGTGTAGTATCTCTTGAACCTCGTCTCTATCTGTTTTCTGCCAAGAACGACTTAGAGGTAAAGATAACATGTAGTTTAGAGATTAATTAATCAAACATACTGTTATCATTATCCCTTTTGTATATTCTGTCATTAGCATAAAAAATTGAGATGTTAGCCTGTAACTGCAAATAATAAATGCTAGTTTTCCTTCAAGGACCAATTTTAATGGTAGCTTAAAAAAGCAGAATTAAAGGATCATAAATAGAAGTTAACCCATAGCATTGGGAAACTTAGAAATCACTTGTTACTTTTCTGGTAGTGAGCCTAATTTGTTTAAAATAAAATCCATCTGTTCATTTCACAGTATTTGTCCCACTTCCTTACAGCAATCCACAGTGGATTACCCCATTACTTTAAAAACTGCAATTATGATAAGCTAATAACTCTTGTTTTGTGGTTTGCTGTAGCAAGATATTTTGGAGAGCAATGAAACTTCCCTTTACTCTTAAAAAGTAATCAGCTATTATTATTTTTTGCAGTTGGACCTGAGTATTTTCTTAATTGTGTTTCAAGTAAATATGCAATCTGATGGCTTTGCAAATTCAGAATATTTTTGATTGTTGATTAATCAGCCAAACACTGCTGTTAAGTATGTAAATGACCTTAATGTCAGTTTGGTATTTGCTTAGCATGCCATGCATGCAACAAACTTTGGAGTCATTCAACTTTTGTGGCTACATTAAATTTACTTCTTGAAATAAGTTTCCTTTTCATACAGGGACCACTTTACTACTGTGCTTCCCTGTGTTTCCTCCTGAATATGTATTAGTCCTCTAGAGATGTTTTAATGCGTTACACATACATAGTGCTTCTACCTTTCTCTGTCTTTCTGATTGTTAATTATGTGAGATGTGTATTTCTGACAGCAGTTGAGTGAATATTTGCTAATCTATGATACAATTGAGTTTTTGAATGTGTACTTCAAGAAGTTGATAGACTTGTATAGAGAAATCATTAATTTTCATTTGTTAAATTCAAGATTCTTAAGTCCTGATACTCTTTTGTGTTTTTATCAGTGAATCTGTTTAAGGAAGTACTTCTGGTTTTGAATGGTTTTCATAGCCTTTTTATTTGTTTATGTAGACACTCTTCTTTGTTGAGTGCAAGTTATTGACCTGGTACTCTATTTATAATTCTGCCTGGTTCTTGAGTATTTTATCTAGCTGTAACTTATTAAAAACCACAAATATGAAATGGGGATATTAATGACAAGTGGTTTAAATGTGAGAGTTTCAAAATGCATGTTAGAATATTTCAACACTTTGTTCACTGTAATTTTACATTTTTCCATTACTGAGTAATTAAAAAAATCCTTAGGGTTGAATTATAGTAAAATTTTATACATCTCAGTACTAATTTTGTCTCCCAGTGGACAGCAATAATTTAGATGGGATTGTTTTTATTCTACCTAATTTATTCTTATTGGGGGGAAGGGGAAAATACTAACCTTGCAAATTTTGCTAACTATAATAATTTCATTAATATTGTTGGTTGTTTTTAATAATCTCCATGCCTTCAGAAATTTGTTCTTCTATATTTTGAAGAAAAACATACAGATATACAGGGTTCTGTAATAGAATGTGTTTACAGTATTTATCCCCTGGGTTTGCTGTAATATTAAGGGGAAGTACAGTGACAGATATAACTTGCAATAGTTGCTAGTGTTATGTGCCTTTGAATAATTTTCTTTAATTCATTAATTTTTTTATATCTAGGTGAGGGTTAGCAGCTTTAAATCAGTTAATTTCTATTAAAGTGGGGATGGTGATACATTCTTAGAGCTTTACTAGTTTTACTAACTTTAAATGATTTAAAATCTGTATGGTAAATGGTTGTATGGATGGTTTTGAACAGACCGTAGACTGTTCAGTTTAACTTTTTAGGTTTCAAGCACTACTAGTGTAGAGGGAGAACTTAACAGTCATATATGGCGCTTTTTTATGCTTTCATTTTGTACTATATATGATCAGTGAGACTTTCTTATCACAATAGGTATGTACACTATAGTGGCTTTTCTAAATGTTCCCATAATTTGCACTGTGTGATCCATATGAATTTAGCTTACAAATCAATCCCTTTCTGTAGGCGTCTGCTTTGTACCTTGACAAGTATGAAAATAATCAAAAATGTCACTGTGTTTGACAGTGAGACTGTGTGTTTCTCTGTTTCTGAGTGTGAATATCATTTAGCAAGGCTGGTCTAGTTAAAAGGCAGTTAAACTAGTAATCATACGTGATCTGTGTTTAACTGTCGTTTGTAGAAAAAATGCTACAAAGTGATATATGGTGATAACAAATTCAGAAGGAAAAGAATATGAAATTCAGACAGCAGCTTGAATGATTTGCTGTTAGCATGGGGCCCAATAACACTACAAAGCTATAAACTCTGTCTTTCTAGATTGCCCAGTTAGGTGGCAGAGATGCAATTTGTCTTTTCTGAAGCCGCCTGCTGCTTGCTAGCTCCATCTCCTGTCACAGCCTATTAGCTCCCCAAGAAAATTGGTGGGAAATTGCCTGCAGATTGTAGGAAATTGCATACCCAGGCCCTGGAAAAAATGTAGGATAGCACACCACTGATCCTCCCAGAGCAGCTATTAATACAGCAGAAGCTGACCTTTGGCATGGTGTGAAACGACTTTGCTATTTCCTGAATAAAGACTGTATTATGCGTGGTTGAAGGAGGGTACAAATTGTTATCCTAGCTATGCTTGTAGCCAGCCTGCTCCAGGAAGCTTAAGCATTAGTGATAGGTTTTACTCTCCCCCGCTCCTTCCTATTGGAAGATGGGAGATGAGATGGTAGAGCCTTATCCAGAAATTTCATTGTATAGATGGGCAAAAGCCACCGTGTATCTAAATGATGTTAGTAAAAATGAAATTCAAAGGTTTAGTGACAAACCAAAAGATAATTTATGGAGCTTATCTCAAAAAAATTGATAATTGCCTCTGCTTGGTCTAGCCTCGGTCAGGGTAGAAACAACTTTTTAGCTATTTCATTCTATGTGTATATCCATAATAAATATTTGATTTTGGAGCAGTTACAGTGAAATGGAGCCGATTCGTACTGTAACTGCTGAGTGTAAAAGCCATGGGACACACATTAGTTCTGATAGATATTAGCATTAAATTCCTTGCCACTAGGAAACTCACCTTTGTCTTGTTTCAGCATATTCCCATGTGTTCTTTAGGGTGTGATATGCAATGATGTTCATCTTCTGTCATTTCTACTAGTGCTACCTTTCCAATTTTGTACTTTACCTCAGTTTTATAGGACCTTTGAGTAAGAGCCAACTTTTCCATGAATCCTGAGAGAGGGGACGTGTAGAATTAGTTTGCAACATAAAAAATAAATGCCACCATTTTCTTTGAGCTTGCAATTGTGCTTAGTTGATTCAGAGCCTCCGGAGGAAGATGTGTATGTGAACCAGAATGATGTATTGATCAGATGTGAGCATGGGGAGGGCAGCAGCAGGAAAAAAGTAATTTTGCAGTCAAGAGCATTGCTGTTTCCAAACTCAACAGAGATTTGTTGGTAACTGGCAGCTGCCCAGGGATCTGAGTGAAATCAATATGTTCATTTCCTATTGTATTAGTGTCTGCTGATGTAAATGAGCTGACAAGGCTTACTAACACTCACACAACTGATAGAAAAAATTAGTGCAGAGCTGAGGCAGAGGAGCTGAACACAGGGCAGCATGACAAAACAGGTGTGCTTGTGGTTCAAAGTGCAGCCAAAAGGGGATCAAGAGCACTTCATGTTACAGGGCTCTCTGGGCCCCTGTTTTGAATTCTTATGATCATGCATGCACACGTCTGTCGATCTGAAATGCTAATTTGTTGAGGCATTGTCTTTCTAAATTAGTTATAGCATCTTTTATGGAAGTTATGCAGTTTAGTGTGGTGTGTCTTTTCTTGTAAAACAAATACAGGAACAGAAGAGCTATGGTGCTTGAGCCTTTATTTTGTATTTACAATAGCTGTTCATCTTCCAAGATATTACATACTAATTGCATTCTCAAAATAAACCTTGCAATTTAGTAACAAACCTGGGTTTTTTTGTATAGTACAATACCTATACTGGAATGAGCAAATAATATTTAAAGGACACACAAAGCTGCCCCATTTAGAGGACACAGAAAATACGCCCTTGCTGATCACTGAATTTGCCTTCTTTTGTAACAAACAAACAAACAAACAAAACTGAGTGATAGTATCCAGAAAGTAATTTCTCCTGGTTGATGGGATTATGGACACTGTTACCTGCATGCCAACTCTGGCTTTAATGAGGCCAAGCCCATTATTCTAAACAGAGCAAGGAGGTAACAAACCATTCAGATCGTTCTTGTACAAAAAGTAGAGGCTTCTTGTCATAAATTCAAAGTTGCAAGCTCTTGCTTTGTTATGGAAAGAAGAAAAATTCAGACTGAGCTGTGAGGGATTTGGGAGTGTACCAAATGCTCCTCTGGATAGTTGGATGGTTTAAGAGAGGGTTGGTGGGGAAAAAACAACTCGGACAAACAAGTCAGCCAGCAGTTAATGACTGGAAAAGATGTGCAAGCCATAAGTGGCACCCTTCATCCTGTAACAGCTTATGAGCTCCAGCAAAAGACAGGATGCTAAACTGCGCTTGCTTTCTTTTTCTGTAATTAGTTAAAAGAGAGTTTGTTGTCCATCTAAGCTCTGGGCAGTTTGAGTTTGGTCAGGCCATGTTTTTCATACTGCATAAATATAGCAAATAACACATTAGCAAAACAAAATCTGAGTTCTTTAATCAGCCCGACTTGATTTTTTTTTTTTTTTCCCAAATGATGTCTTCCTGTGTAACACTTTTCAACTTGCCACACTAGGAAAATGCAGCTTTTTTTTCCCATCTTTGTTCAAATTTCCAATATTTGAAATGTCATAAAATGGTTCTAATTTACTGCAGTATCCTGTTGACTATCAAATGTTTTGCTGGTGTCATTTTTCCTAGCCCCAGCAAAAATTTTTAAATTATGAATAGTTCATTGTACCCAGAATCATACTCATGGTCATTCGTTGAAACAATTCATTATTTTTGTCAAGTTCTCCATCAATGTCTTCCACTCGGTGTTTAATTTTTATGGAATAATTGATCTGAGCATTCCTGGGATCTACCACATCTCCTTCTTCTTACACCATACTTTTCTGATACTCCAGTTGAGAGTAAACCAACCTAGTCCCCCACTATTTGCTCTTAAGAACCCAACATTATGAGACAAAATCCTATGGTGCTTGGTGCCCTTAGCCAAAGGGGGTTTTTTTCTATGAAATATCACAAAGCTTTTTTTTATACTCTATTAAAGATTCAGCTTTCTGCTTATAAAAAGGCACTAAGCAGGCATATAGCAAGACCATAGCCCATCTTAAGGCTTTCAGTGCTGGGATGGTGTGGTGGCCACATTGAAATAGGGAGGGGGAGGGAAAGATGAAGAGCCAAGCCTCCCATTTGACCAGGTTTTTCTCATTAGCGCTCGGCCGCGAAGTGGGAGAGACTGGTGAAGCCTGTGGCCTCAAGAACAGGGCCAGCAAGGGTCTGGGGGGTGGCCCAGGTGTCGTGTTCTGGCTGACCCCCATTAATGCTGGTGGGAGGGGGTGAGCAATGGTGTGCACACAAGGTGGTGGGGTATAGTGTGGGCTCTGACTTGCCCAGCCAGCCCTGAGGCTGCTGGGGAAGGGGCTGGGGCTGGGTTGCTGGTCAAGGAGCTGAGGGAGGGGGACTGGCATTTTGAGCCTGCTGGGAGAAGGGTGGCAGGGGAAATGTATGGGAGGAGGGTGTGGGCAGTGGGAAACTGGGGTCAAAAGATGCAGTATAAATAAATCTCTTGTGGATGAGGATGAGCTAACAAATTTATGAGTAAACAATTTACGTCCCCATCACTAAGTATTGTTTGGGGACCAGGCAAGTGGAGAAAAAGACCTGACCTGGAAGAAAGGGATTTGTGGGGTGGCATCAAGTGTTTAGCTTGTTGTGGCTGCTTCCACTTGTGGGGTATCTACTAAATTAACAGCAAACTTGTCATCTCCCTCACCTCCCTGCAGCAAGCTGCTCTGCAGCAGATTTGAAGCACCTAAGGGAAAGGAATTGCACACCCTGGCTCTGCTGCCTCTCTCCAGCCAGGGCGAAGAACTGCTTTATCTGGGGCTTGTTTACTGGCAAGGAAGGTGACTGTGGATTGGATTGGAAAGGAACATTATTTTTCTGACAGCAGGGAAGACTTTTCCATTTGCAGAGGAAATGGAGATACGTTAGAAATAGCAGACTCGAGCAGCAATGAAGATGTAACACCAGAAAGGTAAGCCAAGACTTTATACTTGATTGAAGAGATCATGGTGGAATATTAGATTTGTGCTATTGAACCAAATACAGCAAAGCCAGGACACACTATTAGTTGTTCTGATTTTTTCTTAGTATCCCCGGGAAAGCAGGCAGTGGAAGAGCAAATATTCAAGCAAATGTTTATCTGCATGTTTGATAAGTTCCTGAGAAATTGTCATATCCAACCAGGCAATGGCTAACCACTGTGGTTAAAGTGTAATGTGCTTTTGGCAGAGGTCTCAATGTTCTGGTTTGAGCCAGCTTGCTTGGAATTGTTCTAATGAAAATAGGCTGTATATAGGTACCATCAGAGGTACGCCTCTCTGTTCCGAGGAAAGCATCTTACTTATAAGGAATTTCACCTTCCTGTTCAGGAACACAATATCTAGAAAAGACTGAAAATTCCCAGTGCAAATATGTTGATGATTAACTCTTGATCAGTCATGCTGGAGACTTTGGAACCTGGATATAGGGCAGGAAATAGATGAGGTATTTGCCTAGGTAAAGCCTCTGCCTTTTGCAGAATGGGCAACTATAATGTGATATTAATAGCTCCTGTTTCAGAACTAATACAGTCCAGTATCACAAAGTACAACATTTGGTGGCATTGTATGACAAAGTATGACATTGTATGGCATTTATCTCAAAAAAAAAAAATCCTTTGGCAATCCTACTGAAAATTCTTTTCCCTCTAATCTTTTCAGACTCACAAATAATACAGAAAATTGCAGGTATCATTCAAAATCACTGTTACTTTTCTAGGGCTGGTACTACAGAAATCCTTAAAAGTGGGTTTTATATTTGTGTGGGTTCTGTTAATCTCACATACAGTGACAGAATCTTCTTCTGTCAGAAACAGGATAGTGTTCTGCTGTGTTGCTTTGAAATGTTCCACAATATGTGCTATAGCAAAGTGTCTTCCTCACTACACTACTACTTTAAAGTCTGAGGCTTATCATAGCGATTTCTCATGCTTTCATCCAAAGCCTGAAAATATGCCTCAAGCAAGACATTCAATCAAAAGTAAAACATTTCCAGTTATTGACTGTCTCTCCAGCTCCTTGGGAGGTAGCTTGCTGCTATGCCAATGTGAAGAAATTCATGTTACAAAAGCAAAATGAAAGAAAATAGAAATTAAACAATAAGAACAGCTTCAGCTCTGAGCAATTGTCTGAGTATCCCACAGCAATCAAGTTTCCCCTTCTAGAGGAACTTCAATTTGATCTTACTTTCACTGATTTATTTTCTGTTGCAGTTTTGAGCTTTTTAAAGAAAGTCTTTCCTTTTCGAATGTCTCTAATTGGAGATGGAGAGGATTTGAAAGGTCTGCCTAACATCTGCAGCTCTTCTGCTCTTTTTTTTCCCTCTTGATTTTTGTTTGTCTTGGGATTGCACACAAGCAAAGTATCCATTTGTCTCTTCCAGTCCTGGGTTCTGCTGCTGGACTATTCTGCAAGAATTGATAAATCACGACTGACTAGAAATAGTATTAAATCCCAATCTGCTGGACTTTGGCAGTTTAGGAGGCTTCAGTGTTTAGTATCTTGTTGTACTGGAAGAAGGAGATGTTTTGTTATTTCTGTTAGCTTTGCAACGACCGTCATGTTGTACAATCAATATGTGCCTGATTTCCTGCTGCAGGTGGAGGGAGGTAGTCTCATAACTACCAAGTCAGGCATCCAGTAGGAAAGCTATTGGAAAAAAAAAAAAACAAAAAAACAAACCAAAACAAAACAAAAAACCCAAACAAACAAACCCAACAAACTACTCGAAGAAAAGCCTTTTTCATAGGGTAGCGGACTTATTTGCTCTACCAAGGGGAGCATGACACATGTACATCTACCGGAGATGTCTTCAGTTATACATCTGTGCCAGCCTTTGATAATATCTAGTTATTTTTCAGCTACTTCTCTTGTATTTGTCCCATAAAGCTATCCCATTTATTTAGTGTAGGTCGCTAGCTTCATATTGTCTTGTTCTTGCTTCAAGATTAATGTTTATCATAAAGACTTCTGACCTTCTGCTAGCTCCTTTTCCCACAAAGCTAGTTCTTACTAAAGTTACTGATTTAGCTTGAAAAGGCCCATGCAGTCTGTCTGTCATAAGATCATTCAATAAAATTTAGGTCAGAAAGGATATCTATGTTTGGTGCAACGTCTGCTCAGACAGGGCCAGGTTAAAAGTTAAGCTGGGTTGCTTAGGACTTGTCCAATTGAGTTTTGTATAACTCCAAGAATGAGATACCACAGGTTTTCTGAACAACACATTTCAGTGTCTAACCATTCTCATTATGACTTTTTTTTTTTTTTTTTTTTTTTTAAATCCAGTCAGAATAAGGACTGCTGTCTCTTATCCTTTGGCTGTGCAGTCCAGAAAGCTGTACACTGTCCCGACAGGCAGAAAAAGCTTGATGAGGCAGAATGATTTGTGGGCTGTTCTCTCTCCCTAGGACTCTTTGAGAGAATAGAGACTGCCTTCCTCCTCTTCAATGTTCCACTTGTAGTCCTTGCTCAATTTTTATTATGCTTTTCTCATCTACTGGAGTGGCACAAGTGGTAACTTGCATTCACTAATGATGGCAAGGTGTATTACCTGGCATTAGGAGTGGTGGGAGACAAATGGGATGAAGTAGAAGGAGAGATTAGATGGGCATAGGGAACCAGTGGTAAAGGTAGTAACCAGCTGGGATGAGAGGAGCTGGAAAAGAC